TAGGATTTTTTTATAGGATAGTTAATCTGATGATATGATGGATTAAAATATAGGTTAAAACTCTTAGGGATATAATAAATATTATAGAATATTTTCTTGAGGTTGAAACTCATGTTTAAGAATTTTTGAGTTAAAATCTAGATCTATATGGTTGAATTTATGTGGAATCTGAGATGTAGGGATAAACCTATGATTATTAAATATTTATTTAAGTATGAATAGGTATTTTTGAGGTTATAGAAAGGTGATTTGAGGCTTCAGGATAATTTTAAAATTTTTAATTTATTTTTGGACGAATTTTTAGAATATAGAAGGATGAAATTGTGATACTAGAAGTGATTTGAGGATAAAAAAAATAGTTTATTAGGGTACGAGAATTTTAGAAAAGAATTTGGAAAGTTAAATGAGGCATAAATCTTAAATTAGTGTTAATATGGATTATAGATCTAAGACTTTCTAACTCTTTAAATTAGAGTTATTTATTTTAATGTAAAATTAATATATAGTATTGTGAAATAATTATGTAGATTATATTGACAAAGATAGTGGTGAAAAAGGAGTTGTGAAGGGGAACTTGTTATTCAAGACACAAGGTAACCATTATTAATGTGTTGTGATGAGTGTGTTTGTGAATGGTTATGTGTTGTTTTGTTGTTTGGAAAAATTATGAATTATTGAAAATAAATACTGTATATACTTGTTTGAAATTATTGCCAAGTGGGTTAAAAATTTATTTTTGTTTATCATGATGAGATATTATTGTTCGGATATATTCCTGTTTGGATATTTGAATGATGCATGACTTGTCAGGGTATTTTAATGTATGGTGTTAATGGGAATTTCTGTTCGGTTAATTATTACCACGTGGTAAGCCCTCATTGGACCCAATGAGTGGCGTGTCGCTTGGTCCAACTCACCTTTGGCCGGGTGATTTGGCGTCCGAGCATGGGAAAGGAGGATATAAGGTGCAGTCATGCAAATTAAATACTTGTTCGGTTTGTTTGAAAGTATTGTTCGGTTAAATGTTTTGTGTGCCCACTTAGCAATCGCATGATTAGTTACATCCGCATGCATCATTACATATTAATTTTTGGTTACTGGGACTTTTAAGTCTCATTCCCCGTGGTTAATATTTTTACAGGAGCGAGTCCGGCCGAGAAAGCACCAGAGGTGTAACTATGGTGTATGAGACACCATCTTTTACGTTGCCTCTTATTTTGATTATACAATGTATCTTGTGCCAACTTAGGACATATCTTCTTTGTGAAGCATGTAAACTCTAATCCTTTTTATTAAAAGTATTTATATGACCAAGAGGATTATGTCTGTCCCTCTTGATTCATGACCTGATTTAAATATCATGCCATGAGGATCCTGTCTGTCCCTCATGGTTCTAATTGTTTTTTTTTTGAGATATTTTAAGACCTGTGGTATATTGTCTTGGATGTATCCATGGTAGAAATTTTTCTACCATGATAAGGGTATGATGAGGGTTCAATGAAAAAAAAATGATTTATTGAATTAATGATTTGCGAAAAATCAGTTTGTAAATTTGAGGGTGTTACACCATGCATAATGCTTATATAGTTTGTTTCCGTTATACCTAGACAAACATAAATAAGGACCAGATGATATCAGACAACTAAAAGCTATGATTGGCTTTTACCACTCAAACGTTACGTGTGACCACAAAAAATTCCCCTGATAAAATGTTAAATACTAAGCTACATTAATTATTATCACTAATTATGGCAAATTTTGTTTCTTATTTTTTTAGCTGAAATTTACTGAATAATATGAATATGTAATCCAAAATGATAAGTCAGTTGGCAGCAAAATATGAAGTAAGTCTTTTTTCATAAAAATGTGTGACGCGAATCACTTGGTATGATGATAATGGGCAAAGCAATTTGGACGTACTGATTATCAGCACTCGCTGGTGCCATCTGCAAGCTGAATGTTTTTTCTTGTAGAAAGCTTTTATTTAACATGAAGAATCGAATAATGTTAAATTCTACCTTAGAAAGTAGTTGGATTGGAACTTGTGAAACTTCTTGCTATATTCCTACACAAACAAATATAAGCCTTAATAACACTCTTACTATTTTGTCTTTGAATGTATATATTTGATTAGAGTTCAAGCTAAGCTATCCTAATTATGAGGAATTATACGCCTCGTGTATTCATTTGCCTTATCCTATTCATTATCTTGACTGGAACCAAAATCATTCTGATTATGAAGAATTTCAGTGGATGCAGGTGGGAGCTAAACGTCGCGTACTCATTGTATATAGAGACTGAAGTTTTGGGGATTGGTTAAGTACCAGGCTTTACTTGATGCAAGTGGAATGGATCTAGACTGCATCTGTGGAGGACTTGAAAATCTTGAGTTTTACCCTGGAGGTGTGTAGGGTCTCACCCTGGTGTCCAAAATACGAGCAAGGATGTGTAAATATATATTTTTTACAAAAAAAAATCTTATCTCCATACTTATTCATCATTTTTATTGTTTAGTGTTGATGAGGACTAAACTCTACATGATTGCACCATTATCATGTGTCTCATGCCTTTGGATGGAGAATTTTGTTTACATCCACTAGTATCGGTCCTAAAGGATTGTCTATTTTGGAACGGCTGTTAAATTTTAATGACAAATTAAGCGCCTAAAATTTTTTGCTGAAAAATAAGTCACAAATATCAATTAAAATAATTGTAAGTAAACAAAAATTTCAATTGTAACATAGAGTCATGTTTGAAACTTAAATCTCTTATTTGTAATTGAATTTTTTTAAAAAAATTGTCAGGAATATAATTATCATTAAGATGATATGTTGGAACCCACCTGTCATTTTCCTTAAAAAAAATAAAAAGGGAAGGGAAAATGGGGGAAAAAACTTATGAAATGTGAAAATCCCAAACCAGGACCCCGAAATGATCTAATCACTATGTGGTTCTAAAGAATTTTTTTAAAATTAAATTTTGTTATGAAAAGACTTTGCATGAAGTAAATGAAATACCCAACAAAACCTGCTCCCTCTTCAACTTCTCTTTTCTCTACCTATGAGTACCTTGTGTTAAGTGATTCTCATTATTAAAGTCAAGTCGGGAATAAAGATCGAATCTAAAAAGTTAAGCTTAAAAGTTATATTTAAATAAGAGTTCGAGTTTTAAAAAATAATTTTTTTTAAATAATTGAGCTTGAGAATTTAGCTTTAATAAATCATGTGAAAAAAGATTTAAGCCCGAATGATCTTTCAAACTTTGATAAGCTAGTTTACACACACACACACACACACACATATGTACGTATATATTTGACTGATAGTCATACAATTTGGTTATTATTTATTGTAAATGATGAAGAAGAGGTTGATGAGATAATTGACATTAAATCTCCATCTCTATCTTCAACAAATTGACCTATATTTAAGAAAATTAACATTTTATTTTTAGATAATGATGAGAAGAATTTAAATTTACATTGATGAAAATTTTAATCCTCATTTTAAAATTAAAATTTTAAATCTTTGTTGAAATTTATGTCGAATTTTAAAATATTCTATTTAAATTAAAATATTGAATTTTTTTTTTAAAAGGAAGACTTAAGAACCTGCCTTGAGTTTTATAAATAAGAGTCAAATTTCAGAATTGGATTAAATTTTAAATAATTGAGCTTTGGAGCTTGAGTCATTAAAGGTTGGCTCTGATTCTCACCTCTACTCAACGCTGCCATCCAGCATCCATAGTTAAAAATTCTTAGCTTAACAAGTCATCAAACTCACGATTTTCCAACGCTGGATGAAGTAAAAGCATGATAAACAGTTTTTCGTAGGTGAATGGCGAGGCATGGAGCATCATCTCATAGTTTGTCAGCCTCAAGGCTAGTGAGCGTATGGCTCATTTTCATTGTATTCTCTCTTTGCTGGACAAGCAACAAATTCATGGAAACAAATAATTTTGTTAATCAACTCAAGCTGATTATTTTTATTCAACAAGCTTTTTAATAAACATAAATTGTTGGCACTTCACAAAAAACCCTTGTAATGAATGGGACTTCGATTTCCCACATTTTTATAGAAGCTTCCCCTGAACTCAACATGATTAATTTTAAAAAACACCCACCCCTGGAAAGAAAGAAAATCAGATGAGACGGAGGCTTGATGTAGAAGTAGAAGGATTAGATTCTGTTTGCAACTATCCACTTTGGAGCTTGCAAGCTCGCAACAATCGAACGCTCTATCCCAGCAATGGAAATGAAACCTGAATTGAATGGAAGACAGCCGCGTCGAGGGTCGCTTCACACAGGGAACATAGGAGGAGAGAGAGAGAGAAGAAGAAGTTGAAGAGGGGAGGGGTTTCATTGGATATTTCTTTTTCCCTACGTAGGTAGAGGAATAGTGAAGTAATTTCATGACAAAGTTTAATGTCAAAGAAGTCTTTTGGACCTCATGGCGATTCGATTATTTTGAGGTCCTGGTATGATGTTTCTATATTTTATGAATATTTTTCTATCATTCTTCCAAAAAAAGAAATGTATTTTATGCTTCATGATTTAAAAATAGTATGCCTCGTTGAGGAGAGCCAGTGCAGCTTCTGAAGTCAATGAAGGATCATAAGGATGCGAGGCCAAGTCAAAAGCCTAGATAAGGTTCGTCTTTATTACGACCTCAGTTGGACCTGGATTCTGGAGACAAGGTGAAGGATGATGAAATTAATTTGAGGATTTTCGTGCGAGACTTGACTTGTTTACTGCGGATTCTAACATAATTTTTGACATATAATTATTATTGTAAATAAAATAAGAATACATCGGTCTTTTCCTGGGCAGAGAACACGCTGGATTTTTTCAGGTGGTTGTTTTTTTTTTTTGGGGGGGGGGGTTGGGGAAGGGTCATATGCCCCTTCCCTCATTGGACATTTGCATTTGCACGCGCATGGACTTGAACACGGAAAATGTGAATAAAATAAAAACAAAAAAGCCGGAACCATATATAAGTTTATTTTACAAGCAGAAGGGAGAGATGACCCTTGACCCGAGTTGGAGCCCTTTTCAATGGAGAAGGCAATCCCGCGCAGCTTAGCCACTTCACCGCCATCTCAGAGTGGCAATCCCTTCCCTCAATTCCGTCTTCTTACTTCCTCTACTCTTCCCAATTACAAGTCCCTGCGAATCTCCCCCCCTCCTCACTCCCCGTTACGTCGGCGTCTGCCCGTTTATTGCTCCATCCCCGATAGCAAACCTTCCAGTAAGCCATTCATTTTCTACTACCCTATTAGCTGTTTCCTGCTTTTTTCTCTCCTCTACGTTGCTTACTATTTTCAATTCCCCTAGTATCTGAATTGAATAATTTCCCCCTTTTCGTAATGGGAATTCTTGTGGGTTATGAATTATCTCGGTTATCTCTATCTTTTACTTTCTAGCTTGGGTGGGACTTTAAGTGATATAAGCTATCCAATAAGCACTCCGAGACCCTGGTAGTGATTTTCAACTCTGCTGGTGCAAGTTATTGCTTGCCTTCCTGTTTCTTAATCGCAAGGTTCAAGCATTCCTAGGCATATTTATCACTCGTGAACCGCTAACTAGATAAAATGAATATATGATAAATGGGTTCAATTGGCGTTGAGACGCTTGGGTTTCGTATAAAACCCAAATCTTAATCGTTTACTGTGCTTATGATCTCGTTTATTTATCTGCCCCCTGTAGATTCAACGACCAATGTTGCTGTCAAGGACACATCTCTTGCGGTGAAGGTGAGATCCCATTCCCTACTCGTTGAGACGGGCTAGTTAGGTTGCTTTGACTAGAGTGTAATTAAAGAAAAGGAGACTATTCATCTGCCTTAACTATTCCATGTGATGGGTATGATGTGGAAAACTAAAAATTAATTTTGCTAGGGCTTTTTTCCCTCATGGCTTAAACACGAATGTACCTATTTTAACTGTTCAGTTTTAATTCAGAAGAAAGCCGCAGATGTATCCCCTGAGTTGAAAGGGACCTCCATATTTCTTCTTGGTAAGAATAGGTTGGTGTTATCACTGCCGTCAAATTCAGATATTTGAGTCTAACTAATTCTGTCCCTTGCCCTGTTGGTTATCATTTTTTTTTTAAATTTTTCCACTCTCAAACGAAGGAATGAAAAGTTCTATAAAGATGAATATGGGAAAGCTGCTGGCGGATACATTACGATATTATTATTTTGACAGGTATCTGTTTGTTCTCTATAAAATGGTAAAAAGGTAGCCTGCAGATTATAGTTGAGCCTGAAATTTGTGCTCTCTATCCAGTGATAATTTGGTTGAAGAAGCTTCGGGCGGTGCATCTGCAGTTCAATCCTCCCGATTGAGTGATGAAAATGGTTTTCGTGAATCCGAGGTAATTGTGACAGACTTGATTCATGTTACCCGGTGTTCCATTGTATATCTGTCAAGTATTTATAGTTACCTGATCCCTCTTAGTCTTTACATTCTTTCTATCTCATTATTACAACGACATATGCTGCAGACTGAAGTACTGAAGCAGTTATCGTCTATGGGTCGACTAGTAGTTTGTGCTGGAAATGGTGCAGTTCAAAGTTCAACAAATCTGTATGGATTTAATTTAGCCATCTGACCTGAGTGACCTATCCTATCATTCATGAATAGTATGATGCCAATGTCCGTTTTAGCTTCTATATCGTTCTGACATGCTCTCCGAAACCTTAATAGGGCATTTCTGAGACATGGGATTACATTGTGGATAGATGTACCTCTGGACATGGTGGCTGGGGATCTATTCAACAACCAGAGTGAATTTTCTTCGTTTGAAGTATCTTCATCCGGGTCTCACGAAGAGGTGGGTTCCTTCCTTTCAAACTTTAATGATGTAATTTGCAAATTTGGATTTATTCATGGCAGTTGAAACACTCATCAATGACGCTGGGATAATCGATGTCAGTTAATGAGTCAACTAGCTGCCCTGTACGATAAATACAGAGATGGTTATGCTACAGCTGATGCGGTTGTTTCGCTTCAAAGTAAGTACTCTTGAATCTTGATGTGGTGAGAAGGGGAGGGTGGGTTGTGAAGTATTTGTGGTCCATCTACCTGTTTCTCCTCCTGGGTCATGACAGAGTGGCTCTGTTTGCAGAAGTGGCCTCTGGGTTAGGTTATGAGGACTTGGGTGACGTCACGGAAGAAGAAATGACTCTGGAGGTGCATTTCAGATTCGAGCATGTTTTAGGTGTAGTTGAAAGCATGTCAGTGAGGTGTCTCACCTTTGCACTAATTTCAGGTTCTTAGGGAGCTAGAGAAGCTGACCAGAACGAAGAAGATGCTGGAAGAGGCTGCAAGACCTTTTTGACTTGCCAATTGCCATGGCACGTGTTCATTGCTCGTGACGAATATCACCTATCTGACCATGTTTTTTTGTTTAAATTAAAATTAATCTTTTTCGGCCTTTTGGGAGCTTGGCTTTTCGGCTGGTCTTGAGTAAGTAGCTCGGCCGTTTAATATTTTGTCCAATTCACTTGTGTCTGTGTCCAAGAAGAAGGGAGGGGAATATGTCCAGAAAGGAAAAAAAGAAAAGCTATTTAAGCCATTTTCGGTACTTATTCCGCCTGAAATTTTGCAACTTTTGTAATATGTAGGAGTCTTGTGTTTCTGATATTATTCAGTAATATTTGTCTCATTACTGTTTAATTTTTTTTCCTTTCTGATCTAGATGCATGTTTTTCATTTATTTATTTATTTGGCAATGTCTAAACAACCAGCAACCTATTTTATTTTTTGTACCCCTTGGGCTGTGCTTTTATGGAATCCATTGTCATCGTGTTTTGGGTGCATGAAGGGCTCAAGGCTGGTAATGGGCCGTTCGTGGCGTGGAATGATGTGGGCCTTAATTCCTTTGATGACCCACAACGCTTTTCGACTGGGTGTGCAGTCGTGCAGAACATCAAGTATTATAATAGCACAAAATTAAATTATGCATGAAAAAGAATTAAATTAAATTAAATTATATCAGTTACTTGGTATCATACAATGCTCCATACGGGCTTATTTATTTAACTATAAGAGGAAATAGTAGTATTTGATGAATCGAGAATTCGAGATCATGAATACATTATTAGTTGATCGCGTGACACTCTGGACTTGTTTTGCTTTTGATTTTTATTAAAAATACTCGCCTCTCCACTTGATCAAAAGCCAATCAAACCAGAATACAGTTTACTTTACCAAATGAGTGTAGCACATATGATAGTGGTTTGAACTCTTTAAATATTATTGTAAGGTTTAATTCTTGAAAGTGTATATGAAAAAGTATTGCTTGAAAAAGGACAGCCTTTTAAATAGCATTTAGATTCCTCCAAAGGTTAGCCTCACATAGTGACAAAGTTAGGACCTAAAATCAGAAGGTGTAAGATAATTTAATTTACAAGTTCATAATTTTTTAAAATAATAATTACTTCCTTCATTAAAAAATATAAGACATTTTTAACTGAATTTCACCTCCAATAAAGTAATTACTTGTTTTTAAACTAACATAATATTTTCATATTTATCCCATTTAATAAAGTGTTTCACTTTAAAATAAATATAAAGTGATTTATTCATATGGCACTTTGAAAAAAATGCAATAATTACATCCCAAAATACTAAAAATGCCTTATATTTTTTAATATCAAATCTCTTAAAAATTATTTTATATTTTTTAATAGAGAGGGTATATTGAAACTAAAATTATAACAATATAAGTAGATTGATAATCCTTTTTATTTATAGAAAATTATATTAAATTTATTGATATGGTCTTTTAATTAAATATGCTACTTATATTTATCTCAATCATTAAAATATTACATATTTAATAATATTTTTGGCCAAATATTTTTTATTTAGTTCAGAGGACACGTGATATTAAGAGAACGGGTGCAAAGTTGTAAAAATTACATATCCTACTTGTAACTTTTTCTAAAATAAAAAAGTTCATTTGAACACCTTTGTGATAATGTGGCTCCACCACTAGCCTTATTGTTGTGAGCTGCAAAAATTTTGGGGCTTAAACAAAAAGAAAGGACTTATATATTAAATTTAATATACTTAAAGTGTCTATATCCAATTAAATCAATACATGTAGATTTTTTATAGATTATTTATTTTATAATAATTTTTTTGTTAACTAAATTAAAACATTAAGATCCATATATCATGATTTAATTGAATATAAATATATTAAATATATAAAGATAAGTACGTAAATTTTTCCTAACAAAAATAATGTATTTTAAAAACTTATCAAAACAAAGCGAAGACAGTGTTTTTTTAAAACAAATAACTTATACCTTTTTTCAAAAAATTTACCTTGAAGTAGTTGCTTCACCTCAAGAGCATTGTTGATTCTACATTAGGGAGATAAGGGTCATAGCTCTTTCCATAAAGAAAATGTACACAATAAGAGTGTGTATGGGTCAGGTTAGGCTTCATCCTAACTTAATGCCCGACCCTATGTGCATATTAAGGCACTGGGCCACCCGAATGTTCAGGTTGGGTTTTGGCTCGATGCTCAAATTTTATTTTTAAAAAGTTTTAAATATTAAAATAAATTTATTAAATAATATAAAATATAAATAAAATTATTTAAAACGGATTATTTATAAAAATAATGTTGGAATTTAAAGTAACAATTTTTAAAATTATATATAATTAATAATTATTTATTTTTTTACACGATATAAAGTAAAAAAATTAATTTTAAATACTTAAATGATTAGAAAAATTAAAATTATAAAATATATTAATGATGAACATACAAATAGTATAACATATAAAAAATGTTAAATAAAATAACATTACAAAATAATTAAGTTTTGTAAAAAATAAATGTTGAGTTTTGCTGGGTTGGAATTGACCCTGGCTCAAAATCCAGCCCAATTAACCCTATTGAGTTTGGCCAAGACCGACCGGGCTACCAGGCTACTTGCATAGCCCCACTGAATGCTATCCAAAATACAATATAGTATTGATAGATTCAAAGTAAAACCAAGTGGAGCCTCCATTTAAAAGTGTTCAAATTCATGGAATTTCTTGGCGCCGCTGTTTTGTGGTTACCAAGACAACCGCTCTTTGCTTCTTCAATCAATTGCCATTGGCCATGGCCCCTTCAACAAAAGAAAAGAAAAAAAAAAATGGAAATCACGTCCAAGTCCCACAACATAATGAAATACAGTAAATGAAGCCTAATATTAATCATTTTGAGTTATCAATAAATCTCACAGTAGTTGTATATTTGATTGTTTTATGAGAAACTTAAAGAAAACTCTTGAAAAAAAAACGGGTATAAAAAATGATACAATTAAAAAGCAGACAAGTCGATTTTTTCTTTTTTCTTTTTGAAAAAGAAGCAGGGTGACACGCAGGGAGGATCCATCCCTTTCGAGAAGGCGAGAACAAAGCAGCCAAGAAGAGAGTGGCTGCCACTTGTCCTCAAATCTGTCAAACTGGAACGATCCTTCACATTCCTCCCTTTTCCATGCCAATCTACCAGCTCCTCACCGCGGCCCCCCTCTTCTTTATCCTCAATTCCTGCGCTGTTTTGCCTAACCTCTCATTCTTCTCTTCATTTCAATCTTTTTTTACCCCCATTCTTTAAATATCCGCATTGAATTGGGTCGGGTGGAACTCTACTATTAACATTGCTGCACTTCCTTATTGGTTAAACCCAGCATTAATAGTCGTCATATAGATCAGATACGGATCAAACTTTGCGTTGTGGGTTGGCCCGAATAAGGCCACGGGCTGAAATTTTCTTTTCTTCAGACTTCAATTGTATTGTATCGAGTGTTTAATTCAAATAATGAGTCTCTTTCTCTCAACCTCCTTCTAAAGTAGATCCTTCCATCACTTAAATTCTATCGAGCAACATTGGCACGTCTCGTATATTGTCAACATCTGATTCATGTCTTGTCAGACCTCTTTTTCATTTTTTTTAATAAATATTACGAAATAAATGTTGCTGCGTAGAATTGCAGCTACTCCCGTACTCCTTTAGCAGCCACAAGTTTTTTTTTTTTTTTTGCCTTCACAGGAAAAGAAAAAGAAACAAACTGGTCGCCAGAGAAGACGCGTTACCACATTCCAAACTCAAATCATTCAAATCCAAACCCCCCCCCCCCCCGGTTTCAAAAAGTCCACAGGCTTTTATAGTCATTTAGTGTGGTTATCGTGACAATTGGGGTTTAGACTTTTTTATAACATCAATTTTAAATTACAAGCTGTAGTAATTCTTTTTTGGTGCAGGACTGGCATATACTCGCCCAGCCGCCAAAAAGGTAAGTAGCAGTATATAATATTATCTTGCAAAATTAATTTATCCGTCAATTATTTACTAAAAAATAAATGCTCATTTCCAGAACGACATTCGAATCAGGTCAGGAAGGTAAGATTTTACAGCCATTCCTTAATCATTAGCGCCAAAGAAAAATAAGGGAAGATCATGGAAGAGGAAATGTAATTGGCTAAAATATAACCAAGAGAAGGAAGAGCACAGGGGAGAGGGGAAGAAAAATGGAAAAGCCGGAAAAACGGGGCAATGTTGATAAATCGAAATCGAAATCGAAATCGAAATGCTGTTTAAATTATTAATTATTTTAATGATAATTACGGGCGAGAAATACCGATGGCAAGGCAAAGCGGGGATGGGGTGGGGATGATGACGCTACGCTGGTATTTTGGCATTATAAACATGGGACAGAGAGTGAGGGTTTGCATTTCCACACAGGCATGGGCCTTCCTTCTCACGCAGACCCCAACTTCTAGACCTAACTCGCCTGCACGGCCTTCCCTGTTATTATCACCTTCACCTTCTGCAGCTCGCAGAATTAAGGGAAAATACATCGTTTTAAGAACCACCCTTTTATTGATCTTTTCTCTTCTCTTCGATTTTTCTTCCAGTGATTGTTTGATCTCAAGTTAGAACTGCAGAGGGTCTAGTATGATTTATCACTTGGATTTTATCGCTACCAGTTTCTTTGGTGCGTTCCCTCACTGGTTACTTTTGGGTTGGCCTCTGCTGCGTATTTCTTGACGATTTTGATCACCAAGTTTGAGTTTTGTTGGACTTAGTTTGATTATGCTTCAATCTGGTCGATTTCTCGCTTGTGGGATTGTTCTAAAACAACTTCTTATTGTTTTTTTTTTTTTTTGGCCCAGTGGATATCAGTTTGTCTCTGCTTTAGACTAGCGGAAAAGAATAATATAAAATAAGTTGTTGCTTGTGGTGGATAAGAAGGACTCAAAAAGCTTAAACGGCTTGCGGTAAATGTGTGCCGTGCAAGTCAGCCTTTCGGTTTTCTTTATCCTTCTGTTGATCGTTTCATGGGAAATCTTCCGGGCATTTATTGATTATTCTTACTTCAGCTTCAAAGTTTCCTCTCAGATCGATGTTTGCTTCAGCTTTGTTCTTTCTATGAGGTTGCTGCTTTCGTAGCCCCTCCCTTTCTCTTCGAACTACTTTAATTGGTCAGGGGTGGTCTCCCTCTTTCACCAGTCTTGCGCGCTTGAATTTGGCCAATACTCTGTATTTTCCTATATCTCACTCCTCGTCCTCCATATATTGGCGGCCTACTTATATGAATCTTTGCTTTATTGAACTGAGGATTCCAAGTGTGATTGTCAAGGGTCTGATTTAACTTAATCAAGGGGTGATTGACTCCGAATTAGTGTAATGCCGAGATTTACTATCTTCGAAAAGTCTGGGATACTGCTATCAATATCTTTTGCTGTGATTCTTTGGACTGTTTATGAATGTGAACTCTGCGAAATAATGTACCTTTTCACTTCTTGTTTCAGGCATATTCGCTGATCTTGCTTCCCAACATGAACTGTTTGTGCTTCATTTGTTGCCAGTATGGAGATCGCATGATCTGTGCCCATTGTAGTGCTCAGATATTTACCATGTCCTTGATTTTCTCTATACCTCCAGCAGAGGAGATGGCGGTTTTAATGTCTCATATTTGGATGCCTCTGTTAGATACATAGTTTGAGATTCTTGTCAGTTTAGAATTACTTGAGCAGGATTAGATCGCTACATTCCAGGTTTAGTTGCAAGTAGATAGCAAAAAATCTTGAAAAGTAAAATGGATCAGGGTGGAGGCTGAGATTCCCCTAGCTAGTTGAAAATTGTAGGTAATATAAAGAACCACTCTGAGAAATCAAATTGATATTATAAGCAAGCCACTTATTTCTTTTGGAAAATCAGGATTTATATTACACCAGTGATGGGCTTGCCACAGATACCCTTAAGTGCAACTGCAGAAGATGTCGCACCAGCCACAGCTGTTTTGCACAGCTCTCCACAGTTTTCGGATGCAGGCTCCTCTGGCATTGACAATGTGCATAGCGAAAGTACAAGTGGATTGGCTGCATATCCTCGGGGTCCCCCATTCATTGATTTCCCAAAGAAAGCCTCTTTGGAAATTTCAAATACATCTGATAATATGTGTTATTATAGAGGAGCGATTGAGGTTACTTCTAATGTCCACAGCCTGAAGATTGGTTCTTCAGATAGCAGTTGTTTTTATACTTCAAGAAATGGGCGAAGTATTCACACCCCGGCTTCTAGAATTGTGGGTTTTGAATCAGGCCCAGCAAGTTCTTCAACTGATGGGTTGAATGGAGCTCCAGCTACTAATCTTCATTCTTCTGCTGTTACTAATGTCACAGCCAATGATACTGAACCTGCCAGCTCATTGGTCAGGAAGCGACTACTATCACCATTGAGTAGCATGCTCTCTCCAAGCCATTTCAAAGGTGATCCTCTGGATATTGGCTGCAGAAATATAGAGAGTGGGGTTAAGATTGATAATTTCAAAACTACTCTTGCACAAGATAACAAGAAGGCAAATATTGGAAGTAATAACAGCAGTGACATGCCTTCATGGTCCTTGTCAAGTTGCTTGGAGCAAAAAAACACGCCCCTTAAGGCAGATTCCTTTTTTTTCAGTGATGGTCCTCTGCTGGTCAATAGAGAACTATTATCCCATGGTAGTTGTCCTTCCACACCTGCCGTTGATCACTTTAGGGAATCAATGCAAGTAAAATTCCCAAGCGACATGATGCCCACATCCCCTGTAGTGAACTCGCCTCCACTTTCCTTCTCGCCTCTTGGTCCTAAATTTTCTGAGAGGTTAAATGCAGTGGGAGGATGTAGGAATACTATTAGAGAGAAGAAGAATTGCAGCATTACCCTAAAGAATATAGAGAACTCACTGGACAAATCTAACTTATGCCGAAAGAAAGATAAATTAAATATTGCAAGCAAATCATTTGAAGATGTTGATATTTTGTGCCAAGACTTCTGTCCATCTTCTTTGGATGGTGGTGCTGATACAAGTTGGCAAATAGCTCAAGAATTAGTGCCTGCCTCCCACTCCATGAGGTTCAGCAGAAGTTTGAGTGGGCTTCCAATAAGGAGGTCCTTGGTTGGTTCATTCGAGGAGTCTCTTTTATCTGGCCGCTTCTTTTCTGGAAACCTTAGTAAGGTTTGTATAAACGCTGCTTTCTGTAAGTGATGTTGTAAATGTTTCTGAATATAGGATTGGATAATTTCAGACATTGACATGTTGCTTATTGTTTTTCCTTTTGTTTCTGTAGAGAATTGATGGTTTTCTTGCTGTGCTAAGTATTACTGGGGGAAACTTTTCTCCAAAATCACAAAAGCTTCCGTTTTCAGTGACTAGTGTCGATGAAGATTGCTACCTGCTGTATTATGCATCAATAAATCTTGCTGGAAATTCATCACCAAACAAGGCTAGAGGCCAACAACTGAAACGAGGAATTAGCAATGATGATTCACAAATTGTCAAAAGTCGCTTGCGAATTCCCATGAAAGGACGGATACAATTGGTATTGACATGCTTACAAGTTTAACAATTATAACCCTTTATTCAAGGGCCTACAGATCTTCCTAGTTTACATTTCATCTATGTTTTTCAACCCGGTCAAAAAAAAAAAAAATCTTATGCTTTTAAAAAATGCCCTATTTTCTTTCTGTTATATATAATGTTGTTTTGGTTTTCAACTGTGAGTCTCGGGGCATTTGTGAACATTGCTAAACATCATGTTAAAAATGCTTTATTCTTACATTTAGTTGCTCTCTGCAGGTTCTAAGCAATCCAGAAAAGACTCCCCTTCACACTTTCTTTTGCAATTATGATTTGAGCGACATGCCGGCTGGTACCAAAGTAAGATATCTCTCAGTTTGGGTGAATCTCTGGCTCTTTTGAGCTGGGTTTCTTTATTTCTAATAGCATGATGGTTTGGCCAGGCAGATTTTAGCCATGGACTCTTCAAATTATGAGTGCTAGAATTTTGTAGTTTGAGATTTGAAAAAATAAAATAAAAAAGTAACCTCTTTCTTGAATATAAATATTTATTTGTTGCCCCCCATCCCATACAGAACTCAATAATTTTCACTTTGCATGTATCTCCTGATGTAATAGAAGTTCCAGTTCGTTTGTGTTTAGGGAGCATGGCATGTCAAGGGAGAGGAGTAATCTTATGTAAGGGGTGAGGAAAATAATTATCCTCCATAGATGACAAATTTATGATCCACAGAAATGCAAAATTAATAATGCAAAAATAAAAAAAGATGCCATCCTGCATTAGCATAGACAATTAAGTTGAAATCTAGCAACGGATCATTCCCCCCCCCCCAAAAAAAAAAAAAAAAACTCTCTGTCTCTCTCTCACACATACAATGCTAGAGCTGTTCTTGATCGGGTTCATTTACCTGAGAAAAAGCAATTGATACCAGTTAGACTTTAAAAAAACGGTATTCTGAATCTGTTTGAAGTTAAAACTGTTACATATTCCTCTTTTCAAGTACTTATTTGGCTCTCACATTTATGCTTGAACTCACATGGTGATTTAATGAATCGTTGTTTGTTGAATTACTGTAATCCTGAAGATCTGGTGTCAGGTATTGAAGCCATTCCCTTACGTTGGGACTTTGTAGCAATGTCCTTTTGCCATGACAGAAAATTGGTATTGACAGGCTTCTATAGTTTGATGATATTACTTTACAAATGGTACATAATTATAGTCACTTTATTAATTAACTAGTGAATATGGCAAAGATTTGATCAACAAGGTTTTAGGGTGATACTCAATGAAATTTGATAACCTCTGCTATCAGGCATGACTTCAGCTATTTTATCCACAGTTATTCCTTTTCCAAATTACCCTGACATCAGTTATAAAGTTAAGTAGGTAATTACATTCTTCGTCAGCTAAGAATGCCTGCTGACTACTTATACCGTTTTTTTTTTTTTTTTGATGATAAAAGGAAAACAAAGCAAAGCAACGAAAACAAAACAGACTACTTATGCCATATGCAATACTCCCTCCATCCCCATTTATAAGAGAATTGTTGGACTCTTATTTTTGTCCCAAAATTTAAGAGAATTGGTGGAAGCTAGTGGTGTAATTAATGCATCTTTCCCATTTTGCTCTTCATTTGATTATCAGGAATTCATTAAGGTGTGACTACAATTAATGACTTCACTAGGAGTATTTTTGGGAAAAAAAATTAAATTAAATTGTGGCATATTTAAAGCATTTAACCAACAAAACTAAATTTTCTTTGGTATTGAGAGAAGTAATAATTTGTTTCTTACATTGGGGGTGGAGAGAGTATGTAGAAGCTACTAAGATGATAATTCCATTCTTTTGTTGTGCCGAGAATGTTAATAGTTGTCTGTGACTGGATATTTGTTTCCTTCAAGTAGAATTTATTCTATGAACAAAATTTATGAATTTAATAATATCAGATCACATTAGATGTACAGCAGAAAATTGATGGTAGTTCTTGCAAGTTAAAAAAATGAGTTCAGATTTGCTCATTTTGAATAACTTGAAATTTATTCGACATTTAAGCAGCATAATGTTATATTCATCGAGCTTTTTTGTTTCCTATATGAGGTTATATCAAACATCCATTTTTTTCCACCTATATCGAACAACATTGAATGCAATGTTGTGGATTATATAAATCATGAACTGGATCTGCTTCATTTTTTCTCTGCCTGAGTTTGAATAATGCTTTTGTTTTCTTTCAAACTTTTGGGATTAATTTGTTTATCAACTTCTGATTTCATTTTCTGTTCATATTGGAGTAGACATTCTTGCGACAGAAAATTACACTTGAATCTTCCAGTTCAACTTGCTCTCAGCCAAAGCAAGGTCCATCCATTCCAAACAGTGGAATCATTGGTAAGGAGATCCCAGGAAAACAAAAGTGTCATGACCCGCATTGTGAAGAGTTAATGCACACAGATGCAGTTGACATAGTAAATAGAACAGGGTTGATGAATCAGAAATTGGGAAATGGCTGTTGTTTGGTGGATTTAATTAACGAAGAGGAATTGAAACAATCTCCCAGCATGAAAATGACGGGAATTCCTTCCTTGGTAAAGCTTGATGATGGATGTATTTCTGTTAAATGCAAGAAGGATGACAGAAAGGAATCATTCTGGGATAAAACATGTGAAGAATCCCGGAAATCATTGCACTTCTGTTCAAAAGTTAATGAGAATTGTAACAGTGCTGGTCCGCTTCGTTATGCTCTTCATCTCCGGTTCACATGTCCTTTTCCTAAAAAGACTACAAGAACATCACTTCAGAAATCCCGACCAAATTCACTTCCAGAAAAAACTGGATTGCATGTGGAAGGGGATCGGAGATTTTACTTATATAATGATTTGAGGGTTGTGTTCCCTCAGCGGCATTCAGATGCAGATGAGGGCAAGGTATGTTGAATTGCTTGTATTGTGACCTGTCGCAGCAGCCCATCCCAAAACAATCACAATCCAAAAGCAATATTGGCTTCTGCTCACAAATGTGAAAAGCAATTAATTTACTTGTTTTTGGTCTGTGTTTGTTGGGATCTGGGCATACGTGTTTACATTAGTGTTTTTCTTTCTTGATTTGCATTCCAAGTTTCTGACGAGCATTGTTTGGCAGTTGAACGTGGAATACCATTTTCCTGAGAATCCAAGATACTTCGACATCAACTGAAAAAAAATGAGGTTTCGCTCCTCCGAAGCATGATGCTGCTATTGCTGCTGACCATCTTCTGTACAGTAACATGTTGGTCGTCAGTCATGGCTGTTGGAAATGACACTAACCCCTTTTACTCCTCCTGTAAATACTTTGATTTTAAATAATATGGCGGGTTAATTATTTCTATTGTTTCTGACATTTTTATAATCAAAGTGCCTGGAACGTGGTGGTCTCCCTTTTAACTGGTGTGGAAACCCAAATTGAACCTTCCTTGGAGGTTTGCGTTTGTAATTACTGATACCAAAAGCCTAAAACGATGAGTCAGGTAGAGCTGCAAGAGAAATGTTCTGCGTATAATGGCCGTGTGTGGTTGTTGGATTGGTCTATATATAATTGACAGAGAAGGGTCATGCATGCGCGGAACTAATCAGCTAATAAGCATTTGATCTGTTGCTGAAAATTTGAATCAAAGACAGTCGTTTTGAATGTAAGAATTATTAACTAATTTATACTTTAAAAAATTAAATATTTTTTTCTTAAAATATATATGCTAGTTTTCCTTTAATACTTCACATTTAGAGTTGTAATTCGGGTAGGTTGAGTTTGACCGAAATTACCTATTTTGTATATATACAGAGTCAGAAATTTTAACAATTGGGCTCAATTTAGGTTGGATTTATTTGGATTGAATTTAAGGTATCATACCTTCTTATAGATAAGCTTAATTCTAATTTTTTTCAGACAAGTTCGGATTGATTTGTTGGGCTTGGCTTAAATTATCAACTCTATTCACGTCTTGGTTTCTCTAATGAAATTTTTAAAAAAATTGTGCAATTGATCAGGGAACTTCAAGAAAAAGATAATAAACATGGAAGGTAAACAAAATTTAGGTTTTATATTTAGAATTGAAGGAATAATTTTATTTTCAAAAATAAGACTGGTTGCCCATGGTGCATAGTTCTTAGGAAAAATGTCAATGAAGTCTTAAAATAAAAAATTTATGATAATCAGGTTCCTAATAAAAAATTTTTAAAAATAAATTATAAATATTGATTCAAATAATAATTTTAATTATAAATTGAGGATTATATTTAAATTTTATATTTTATTTACAGTTTAAACTCTTGAATTTATAATTAATTTTGTAGAAAATTTTATTAAAAATCTAACTTTCATAAATTTATTGTTTTAAAGTTTTATTCTCATTTTCCGTGATTCTTATCCTGAGATGCGAAATTATTTGAACAAAGAGGAGCATAACTGTATATGCTCGTTCAAACTCAAATTATGAATGTTAAAATAGAAACAATTCATCATTAAAAATAAAATTTTGATTTTTAAAATAAAGCTTAATGCTTTAAATTTGTTAAGAAATAACAGGATCACAATAATGTGCTTTTTCATGAGACAATGAGAATGGTGTTTGTTAAAAGTAAATTTTAAATTTATTGATGGAATGCGGTAGATATTTTTTATGATGAGATGAGGTTACAAGAGTCACTTCATTTTGTTTCTAGTGCCTCTGAGGCTGTCAGCAATTCAGTATAGTGTTATTATCATTTTTAATAAAATATAAGTAGAGATATTATGTTATTTCACGCAGATGAAGAAGTGAGAAGGTATCGGATTGGATGTTGGGATGGTTAATCGACGCCTGCAGTATTGCAGTTTGCCGCCATTTCTCGAACAAGCAGCCTCCTCCTTCGTCCCCAAACAGAATATTCGTTTGGCTTTTTTTTTTTTTTTAATGTTCGGCTTGTAAAATTATAAAACGAATAATGATATTTTGCTAATTATATGTAGCCTAAAAATGTAATGACTAGTTGTCATATTATTTAACTCCAAACGGATCAATCATCTGTCATCCCAAGGGTTCATCTTGCCCTTGTCCATTAAATGGAACTAATTGATGCTTATAAGTAATAAGTAATGAAAGTATAAATATGTATTTAGGGATGGAAATAGGGGATTGAATGTGGGCGTAAGTGATCAGGACAAGAGGAGGAGTGGGAGTGGGAGTGCGTTGTAGACAGGCAACGTACTCTGCAAAACGAACTCTATTCCTCCCACTCCCAGAAGTGATGGAATGGATTGGAGCAGGAGGGCAAATGCGTCAATCAACACCAAAGCTGTGTTATATATAAAGCCGAAGCCACTCTCCAGCTACCTCACAAGCCTTGGTATCTGAGAAAGAAATGGGAGAGCCCGCAGGCATGTACCAGCTCCTGAACCACTCCCCTGCTGCTTCCTCCAGGACCCTCCGCAAGTCTCAGCAGTCCCAGCCCTCGTCGCCTCGCATTTTTCCCTGCCGTTACTGCCCCCGCAAGTTCTGCACCTCCCAGGCACTCGGCGGCCACCAGAACGCCCACAAGCGAGAGAGAGCCGCCGACCGCAACCTCAGCCCCGCCGACGGCCGCCACCCTCCCCAGTCCCGCCACTCCCATTTCTTCGACCCCTACTGGCTCCATGTCGACCCCATTCATTTCTCCCCCCCTGCTCCCCCTCCTTCCTCCTCCTCACCCCCTGCTCCTTCCGATCCTCTCCTCGACCACGTCAACCACCTCGACCTCACCCTTCGCTTATGAATATCCTTCCACACCGAAGCGTCTCTCTTTTCCTGCGCATCGCTTGGGGACCTCCTCCTGCTGCCTCCGGCTGCTTTAAGTTTATCTTTCCACTTGTTGCTATTTATATATTTGTACATGCTCGCTTCACTTTAATTCTCCAGCTTTTCTGTTTTCACTATAGTTTGCTCCTTAGACTCCTCTTCCTTTACATTTATTATGAGTTTGTGTTTTTCGCCACTCCACATCGCTCGCTGATGCTCTTTTCTGTTACGCTCGCGGCGTTATCTTCTCGTTTTATATCTTTAGTACGTATTCATCGTTGAAAGTAGCAAAATGGAACGAAGCTTGTTCGCTGGGGAGTGTGACCGTTCACTTTTATGATCACCTTAATGTACTGGAAAACCCTATCGTATTTTTTGTTCAACAACAGGTTCTGCTGCTTAAACTCTACCAAACTTTCTCGCCTACATGATATGCCCTTAACAGGATAAATGATGAAACCCTCGGCATTCATTTTGATATGCTTATCAATCGGAATGGTTTAAACGTTTTGTTCTCGCTTCCTCTTATTTTTCTGGAAAGCTCCTTCGATGGAATATCGTGAACACATTTAATTAAATCTCGATCATTGGGTAAATTCCCAGGCCTCAAGGGAAAATGTAATTTCTTCGAACGTCGATGAAGTGATTTTTATAGGCGAAATTTCTGAGAGATAATTAATTAAATTAAGGGTGATATATGTGTGTGACTATGATGTAAGCCTGGGAGAGAAGTGATACTGTTTGAGGAAGCATGAGGCATGAATGATGGCAAAGCACGTCCATCATCTTTTCTGATTGATTCTGTGAAGGGATGTTTCATACGGACATTATAGATGGGAGGGACGGAGGCGTCGTAGCCAGCTACTTGCAGTGCAGTTCTTGCTGTCTGTCCTTTCAACTTTCCTTTCCTTTCGTTTTTCCTTTTTCATGAAAATTGTGTCACCCAATTTCATCATCTTTGATTTGCTCCAAAAGGAAATAAGCATGAGTTGAAGATCAACCAGAGAGAGGTTCTCTGCTTAAAACACAATGTGACGAGACCATATGCTGCTTTCTTTACTAAAGAATAATGACAGCCTTGCCATGTTGTTCTATATAGTAGCCAAATTATGAACCTAACTGAGGCTTCACACAACCACGCTCTCTTTTCATGTCGTTCCTCCTTGCAGCTCAAGTCTCAGTTTCTCTGTTAATTTATTAATAATTGCCGCCAATCAACTCACAGGGAGAAAAATATCAACAAAATTTCATCATATATTAATATTATTTTTTTTATAACTCCATACTCGTCAATAATTTTTTTTTTCGGGGCAGACGTCAATAAATGTTTAGAAGCTTAACCTTGACTATTTGTATATTATTATAAGCTTCAAAATCGTCTGCCTTACCTTCCTGAATGCATTTAATTTATTGAGGATCGAAGACAAAAGATGACAATATTTCAAATCAAACAAAAGACTAACCGTTATACATGGCCCGGTTCAGAGGTGAATGGAACATATAATTGAAACAAAAAACAGTTTTTGTCATGCCTGACGAAACTATTTGCTGTTGTGAATTTAAAAAAAAAAAAAATCAACATCCACCGCATTCTGTTGCTTTTCATGTAAACAATTTAAATCTCATTTTTATTCATTTGCTTATGTTATTTTTGTCTGAAAAAAACAATTCCAAATCATATCAGTAACGAATTTGAAGAATTATTTACTGTTACAAATAGAAAATAAAATCAGTGAGTCCAAACAAAAACAACGTGCTCTCTCTACTCCAAGGGAAGCCTTTTTAAAAAAAAAAATGAGGATGAGTACTTGAGGATAAAATGGGAAAGGAAAAAAGTTCATCACCTGATGATTGCGTCTACCACTAAACCAGTACGTGCCAATTTTTGGCATCGCGGCTGTGCTGAGTCTGGCGTTTTGTGCAGTGTTTTTGGCATGACATGAACCTATAACTTATCTCCATTCTGGGCCCACACAACCTCGCTCATTTTTCTCGGAGACGCCTCACCATTTACTCGGCGTTACTTCCACACACTTCATCTCGTAGATTAAATTTTAGAATATTTTGTAAAATTTATTACTTTAGATATTAAATAAATAAATTAATCTATTTTATATATGCGCGCGCACCTCTTCTTATAATGGGCTTTTCACTTCCTAGCCCAGAAAACATCACACTTATCGGGGTTACAATTTAGTTGGACTGGTTCTTTTTTTTTTTGTGGAGCAAAAATTTACTTGGACTAGTTAATAAACAAAACTTACATGGATTAGCGTTGAGCGCACAATTCCCAAATACTTCCTCCAGTTTAAAATATAAATAACTTTTAAGAAAAATTTGTATGTCAATAAAATCATCATTTTAATAAAAATATAAATTATTTTTGTTTTTTCTTGTAGTTCCATTTACCAAAGCACTTAATGATGAGTGAGAGACTTACAAAAATATCTAGATTAATAAATATAAAGGGTAAAATGTGAAAAAAAATTTACAGGTATTAGGTTGCTTATATTTTAAATCATAATTAGTTAAAAGAAAATGCTTATATTTTAGATTAAAGAGAGCATCTCTAAATTCAAGAAATGATATTTCCCTGATAAATATAACAAATGAATTTACAAGAGCATTTCATTATCAAATTTTGGACTCTATTGATTGGCGGATCTACTCTTGGAGGGTCAAATTATTGTCTCAAGCTTCTAGACTGACTTTAATTATATATGTTTTAATTGCAACCAATATTCACCTCATGTCCTATGTTAGATTGCCAAAGAAGGTTTGCAACTTGATTGATTTAAAATTGGTTGATTTCTTTTGGGGCTTTGATCTAGGGAGAAAAATGCATCTTATAAAAAGGATACTCTTTTTTCCCTTTTGAAAGAAGGAGGTCTTGGAATTCGTTCATCTCATCAAATGAATATGGCTTTGCTAGCAAAACAAATTTGGAAAATTTTGACTTTTAATGAGAACTCCTTACTTGGTAATACTTTGAAGATCAAGTACATTGATTCTTCCAAGAATGTCAAGCTCAAGAAACCTTACAATGCATCTTGGTTTTGGAAAGGTATTCTGGATTCTCGGATGTAATTTTGAAACAATTATCATGGCAAGTTGGCTTAGGTTCATGTATTCCTATTGATCATGACTGGTGGAAACCTTCAAATTCTATTTTATCTCAAAGTCTTGATATTAGAAAGGTCTTTTATCTTATGGTTCATTCATCTTCAGTATGGTCAACTACTAAGTGAAATAGGAAGTTGTTATATCAACTTTATTGTCCAGACATAGTTAAGCAGATTTTGAAGATTCCCTTGGCAACTTATTCTTCTCTAGATGGATTGATCTGGATATGTAACATTGATGGCTCTTACACTGTTAAAAGGGGCTACTGTTTTAATTTTCAGGACAGAAGATTAGGTTCTAATGATCCTTTTTGGACTTTTTTATGGAAGATAAATTTACCATATATGCAACTTCTTTTCACATGGAAGTTGGTTCATTCTACTTTATCTCTTGAGGATGTTCTTTGACATCAGCATCTCAATGTGCATTCCTATTGTGTTTCTGGTTTCTCAAACACAAAATTGTCGAATCATCTTTTTTGCAGATGTTCTTATGTCAAATCACTCCAGTTTGGTGTTTTGTCAATTCAATCCTCACAAATTGAGGAGATTAGGATTTCTAGGTGGATCGCATTTACCTTTTCATATTTATATTTTGATAGCCAAGATTCTATTCTGAGAAGTATCATCATTCTACTTAATCCGATTTGGCAAAAAAGGAATATTGCTTTTCATCATGGTAAGATTCAGTCGCTAGATGAGGTTGTTAAAGAATTTCATGATCATTGTTATTATCTTTTGGAAGTATGTCAATGGCTTCAGACTCGTATGGCTATTGATGATTAGAGAATCACTGGAATAATGTTACCAGCATTGAATATGCCACCAACTTTATCTGTTTCATTTCAATGGCATATACTTATGAGGAAATTTAAACAGGGACCGAGTAGGTTCTATCTTTTTCTTTTTAACACTAAAGTCGGTTAACATTCACATTTTTATTTGGAAAGATCCTCGACCACTGATCCAAATTGTTTCAACTTACTTTGTCTTAAAGCTGCTTTACAATGGGTTAAGGATTTTTCGCTTGCCAATACCCTTCATACCTCAGGAGTCTCCATGCTTTGTTTCAAGAGGAAATTCTTCCATTGCTTTCATTCAAAACATCACTCTTAGCGAGCACTGGTACAGGATGTTCATCAAATAGCTAGTCATTTCTCTTCTGTAGCCTTTAGTACTACATGGGATTGTTCTTTCTTTAATTCCCCCTACCCCTAAACATTTGTTAAACCCCATGCATTGTAATTTTTTTTTTCTCTTTAATTAATCGATCTTTTTATCCAAAAAAAATACAAGAGTATTTCATGATAAATCCCATTAATCTCTTGATCCTGATGCCTTATTAGGCTTGAAGCCCAGTTTTCCATTTGATCAGAACAACATCAAATTTCAAAGGTTGGAACTTCAGATGTAAAACCATGCGTGGCCTGGTACAACAAGCGAGGCACTATGTTTCTGTAAGGATCTGTTTCTCTTTTCTCCTTCAAATAAGCAATGCATCTCTCAACCTCAGACTTCACTTGTAAATACAGTTCTTGAGACTTGTCCCTATCTCTTAATTCATGCCTCCTCCCTTTCCAACAATCAAAAAGTGTTAAAAGTCAATCCACCAGCATTAATAATTATTTGTTCTTCCAATTTATTGGCATTTCAAGCCGTGAAATTAATGTGCATCGAGCTTACCTTCCGTTTCAATTGCTTTTCCAAAATAATAATAGAACCGGCCAGGAAATTTGGGCATAAGTCCTGGAAGATGCATTTGCTGATTAGCCACCTCGCCGCTAGCATCAGTCCTTGGTTTCACCGGAAAAAAAGTGTTAAAATTACACACGTTACATATAAAGGCATAGGGACAGAAAAAGAAGGGGAAACTACAATCAAGAATATATATATATATATATATATATGGAGATACCTCAACTTCGCAGCCTGTTCCGTTAAAGTTTCTATATCAGACCTAAAATAAGGGATCTTCATCAAGTCCTCATAATCAAAAACTACCTGAAACCAACATGCTGTCGTTATTCCATAAATCCATGGTATGGCGAAATGCTAGTGTAATGGACTCGCAGAGGTAATGTGTGATTGAAAATGGAAAGCACACATCAAATATGAACAAAACATACCTGAGCCAAATCGTCTTCCCCGACAGCACCAAAAGGCACAATTTTCGCTCCAAATCTGGCTGCCATCCTCACAAATTCAGCCTGCTCGGGCCAGAATAACTTGTATTCTTCACCCTGGAATTGTTAAATTCAAAAGCCAGAGATTACCAACATACACTAGTGTTTCAAGCATGACTCATTATTGAGTGCAACTGTTGAGACTTGAGAGTTAAAACTTTCCAATGGAACAGGTTTAACCATTGGAAATTACCTTCCGATGAAGAGCTTCGCGCATCCCTCCAGGGTACAGTAGGATATGGGACTTGGACGCGAAAAGCTTGAAGAAGTTAGATGCTGCAACTGGAACTGCACCCATCAGCCTGAATTTATCAAACTCAGACGGATCAGGAAACTTTTCGTTTTCTGGTCTCGCAAACAGCACCGGATGTGCCAGCCCTCGTAAAAGGATATTTTTTTCATGAAGAAATCGAGAAACCAGAGGAGCTATTTCCAATCCCAGCAGCATGTGGTACCCCACAAAAAGGACAGGTCCCTCTGAAGGAACTCCAGCAAGACCTTTAACAATCGTTCCATCATCCAACGTTGACAGCATCACAGCACTTGTGGCGGAAATTAACAATCTGTAACCATTAGTACAATTGGTAGCAGGCAATGATTAATTCATCTCCCCCACACTATAATTCAATCAAAGATGGTCAAGGTCAGACATCGCCTAAATTTCCTCTAGCCTGTATTATCCTTGATTTTACAGGTGTTATTCTAAACCAAGATGCCAATCCGTGGATAAGTTGCAAGAATATCGCGCGACACACACCTGTTTTCTTCAAGTACTTTTTCTATTTCCTTGCGTGTTGGCGGTACAAAATCTGAAGCATAGTCGTGACACTTGCCGCGGCGATAGTAAGAAGTTTTCTTGATGATGGTTAGCAAGTCAATGTTGTCATCCTGAAACCGGAGGAGAAAAGAACCATCTTAACTAAGGTCTTCATAATTCAAAAGACACGAGGCTGAAAATATATGTATTTTTTAAATTTAGACGATCATACTCCGAATGTGCGCATAACGACAAACATAAGTCACACAGAAAATTTGAAGTGAAGACTAGAGAGAATTGTACCAGGAAAAGGAAATGACCACTGTCATCAAATTTACGAAGTTCACAATTTGGCAGTAATCGACGAAGTCTTTCGCCTTCCTGTTGACTGGGTAGCAATTGATCCCTTCCGCTAAAAAGGGTAATATATTAAAACTCAGCCTAACGTTCCATGTAGATTAAAGAAATCATCAGAGATAATGATAGATTTTTCAGTTAAAGGATTTCCCTCGTTGCAGCTTGACTTCTAGCAGCTGCTTCCACCAAAAAAATAATGGTCAAGAAGGGAAAGTGGAAAAAATCAAGCAATTCCTTGTTCCAAGATCGTTTGACATTTTATTTATTTCATTATAAAGCAAATTCCTCAACCTGACAAGAAGCTAAATATTAACAAGTTAACAAATTATACATGATTCCACAATATGACCCATAGTCCCATAGCTACAGGAATGGACAATGTCCCAGTGTACGGACCTGCAAAGTATCAAAGTCTGAGCTTTGACATTATGAAGGCGTGAATTGGCATATACAGAAGCTGACTTGAGCATCTCTAGTTTCCATTGAAATGTTTCTCTTGGTAGTATATCCGCAAGAACCTGAAAACTCCCATCAACAATAGATTTTCAGAACAGGAACAAACTAAAAGGAAAACTTAAGGCAGTCATCTCACTCGTCCATGTCCTTTTTTTCAAATCCAGCATAATGATCTCTTTAATAACTACCATAACGAGAAAGAACTGAGCCATCCAATTTTGGCAATGCCATAATGCTAATGGAAAAACCATCGCATATTCAAATCTAGGATAAGCTGTGTCACGCTGGTGTTAGGAACCTCACTATTTTGAGAACCAAAACAAAGATATAGTTGAACCTTACAGGGAGAAATGATGACAAAGTACTGAGATCGTCCGTTAGCTCTCTAGCTGTGTTTTCTAGGGAAAGTCCTTTCAACGCGTTATCCAATATCATCCTCAGAGGATCACCTAAAGTAGAATTGCTGAAGGCATAAATGGAGAAAGACAATTTTTCTTAATTTGGTTAAAGAGAAAGACACCATGTTGGTACTTCATCTATGGTAAATGCATTTGCCTTGAAAAAAATTTTAGTGCTCGGGGATCATCAAATGATACTTTTAATATTCAGATTTTCTCCTGTCCTGCATTTCAACGTATGTATAGGTTTCGGGATAGAAAACAGACCCACAACACTAGCACAAATACTGTAACTTGAGAAGCAAGAAAACCAAACCTGCCATCAAACCGAGAAAATAAGGCAGGCCAGGAGATAGCTGGCTAGGCATAGCTTCCAACAATGGGGTTAGGAGTTGTAACTGTGAGCTGCCGAATGAAGTAGCTGCCAAAATGAGCAATTTGGGTGAGGAACAGGGACATCATCAATTCATGGACATGTACTGTGCAGCAGAAACATTCACGTAATACTTGACTTCCAAAACTTTGGCTCAACACAATACCATTTACAACAAATGGGATACATTCACCACAATAGAACTACAATTCACCATGCAACTTACTCAGCATTTCCTGTGTCCATTCATGCTTATGATGTTGAATTATCTTAATTTAACTATTCCGTGCCCGTAATTAATAAAATCGGAAAGACTAAAACATAGTGAAAGTTGGAAGTTTAAATTTACCTGGGTTGGCCAAAATCAATACCAGATCAATATCAGGGTTACGGGCAACAACAGCCAGGGCAAGGCATGCTCCGACGGAATCTCCAACAAGGTATATGGGTCTTTTTGGCCAGCGTTGGTTCTCTGACCTAACAGTTCTCTCAACCATCTTCACAAGCTCTGCATTAACCAACGAGGAATCGGGACAAATATATATTATCGCAGAATACATCTTATTCAGCCAGAAGCAAAGTCAGTGAAAAACGACATGCTATGACCATTGTTCGCTTTATATCAATTCATGAAGGGAAAAGAGATATTCATTACTCAATGCAATCAACATTCTCCGCCATTTTCTATTAAGTTCATTACGAAGCTTATTCCTCAGCGTTGCTAAAGCATCAGGTAATCGTTGTTTCAGCGTTCACCGTGCACGCATATGATATGTTATGAAAGAGACACGAGGAAGAGAAGGACCTGTAAATGGTGTTCGATCCACAACCGGAATATGCAAGCACCAAAGATCAAAAATCCTTCATTCAAGGAAAAAGAAAGAGTATTTGTCACATACCAGTCAACAAATTATCTCTTTTTCTTGCAAACAGTTAATATTAATAACATTGTTAGAGTGACATCAAGCGAGCAGAAACCAATTGGCATCCAATTATTTGTGTGGTGAATTATAAAGTGCATCCCTAACATGAGTTTTGAGAGCAAGGCGTGAACACCGAGCGAATGCATACCTCGCCAGCTTCTTATGACTTGAAATCAGTCCAAGTCCGACGCCATCAATCCCTGAAATAAATGTGACCGAAGTATACTTTTATGAATACCATTTTGTCATAATTTATAAATTAGAGCATAAAAATGAAGAATGGATCCCCTCCACATTGTGATTCTCATTAAAGTGGATGGATAATAGTGAACACTTGTAAAATGATACGATATGTAAAAGAAATCTATATCATGTACGCACACAGAAAAAAAGATCAATGCAATAATAATTTATAACGTAATGATTGAGTCTAAAAATTAAAAACACACACATATATCAGATTGTGCATATTTGTGGTTATAGTATTTTTCACAGACAATTCACTGGGTTATTCATTTCATATTAAAAGAAACGATTGAGATACATAACCAACAATTTTTAGACCATTGTTGCTTTAACAAATGTCGTATTTATATGTATCCGCTGATGAATGATGATGCTTAAATCGAATATGCATAAAGTTCAACAAAATATCTTTAATCTAATTTTTATATTAAACTACACCAAAATAGACTTTTATGCGTCCTTCTTTTAGGCCATGACCTCCGCGGGTCCTCAAAAGCCACGTTTGAAAAATATCAAAGACCTTTTACAATTGAAACAAAAAAAATTTACAACTCAAACATCACAATTTATAACTCAAAGGTCTTTATTTTGCATTAATTTTTTTATAGGTCTTCAATTGTCATTGTAATAAATAACAACTGAAAAATAAATGGAATGAGCAAAGTTCAACTAAATGTCTTTCTTTAATTTAATCTATATATTAGACTAAATCAAGATAAAAACAACAACAATAAGTCTTATCCCACTAAGTGGGGTCGACTACATAGATTATATAACATCATTATGTTCTATAATTTATTAAATTTTTAGAAATATTATTAATCAAAAGATCTCACTCAACAACTTTTAAAAGTATTTTCTTTAGCCTTTATCTATCCTTCATAACAAGGCTCAAAATCATCTCTTTCACTCTTCTCATAGGTGCCTTCCGTGATCTTTTTTATACATGTCCAAACCATCTCAAATGATTTTTTATCATTTTTCCTTCAATAGGTGCAATGGTTACTTTTTCCCGTATTCATTCATTTTGAATTTTGTCTTTACATGTATATCTACACATCTATCTCGATATTTTCATATCTGCTATTCTAATTTTATGCTCTTGTTATCCTGTTAAAGCCTACCATTCACTATCATATAATATTATTGATCTTATAGCAATTTGACAAAACTTTCTTTAAGTTTATTAAGTACCTTACGATTGTAAATAACTTCTTTAACCTTTTTCTCCAATTAAACCACCCAACTTATATCCAATGTGCAATATCTCCATCAATTTTCTCATTGCGTTAAATAATCACTCCCAAATATCTAAATTTTTCAACTTGAGATATGATCTGATCATCTAATTTTACTTCTAAATTATTACTCTCTAACTTCTTATTAAAATTAAAATGTAAATATTCCGTTTTACTTTTACTCACGCGAAAACCTTTTAACTCCAATATTCTTTTTCATAACTTAAGTTTACAATTAATCTCTTCTCTTATCTCACAATAAAAATTATATCATCCACAAAAAGCATACATTTAGAAATTTTCTCTTAAATATGCTCAGTTAAAATATCTAAAACTATATCAAACAGATAAGGATTTAAAGATTATCTTTGATATAGTTTAATATTTATAGAAAAGTCTTGAGTAGGCCAATCAAAATAGACCTAAAAAAAAATCAAAATATACTTTTATACATCCTTCTTTTCGGCCATGACTTCTATGGATCCTCAAAAGCCACGTTTGATCAACGTTACACCACACTAGGTCCCGAATAAAAATAAAATAAATAAACGTTCCAGTGCCACACAATTTAAAAAGATAAAATGGGTCTTCGACGTCAACTTACGACGAAAGAGTCATAATATTTTTTTCATTTAATTAGAAAAAAATTACTAACTTTTATTGAATATATATCACATCATCCAAAATGGTAAGAAAAGTTTATCCCCGTAACCTTTAAATTTTTAAATCAGAAAATTATAAATATGAATAACGTGATACACTAGAGTGTGTGTGTAAAAGTTATCTTCTCGTGTAATTAAAGCTGAATAAAATCTCATAAAAGTGACTTGACTTTTTTTTTCTATAAAAAATTAAATATTTTTTTCAATTATATTATTTATTTATTTATTACCTATACAATAACTTAATATGGTTATTAATTATAAAGAAATGTAAAATTGAAAATTTACACATTTTTTAACAATTTTAATTATATAACTAAATTTTTTAACAAATGTGAAGTTGGTTAAGTACGTCTTTTAGTATTAAAGACGTGTTTAAAAATTAGATATTTTTTTAAAAAAATAAATAGCCCTAAAACTTATGCCAAATGACCAATATTTAAAAGAAAAAATTACATATAAATCCCGTAAAATAAATTTGTTTGCAACCAAATATCATAAAATTTAATAATTATAATTAGATTTTTTGAGACCTGAGTATAATTTAAAATTAATATAAAAAGATAATAATATCCCTATTAAACTTATATATAGTATATCAATCAAATAATTTACAATGTTTCATCAGTATTTTATAATTATAACTTTAATTTTTTACAACTATAACTTCATCTATCTAATAATTAAAATAATTAATTTAACTATTGAATATGTGAAATTACAATTGTAAAAATTTAAAAGTATAGTTATAAATTACTAATAAAGTAGTTGTAAATAATTGATATTAAACTTTGTTAATAATACATGATGGTTTAATTATTAGATATGTGAAATTATAATTGTAAAAAGTTAAAATTATAATTATAAATTATTGATAAAGTAGTTATAAATTAATTATTTAATGGATATAATATATGCTTAATAAAGGTATTATTGTCTTTGTAATTTAATTTTAATTTACATTTAAATTTGTGGTTTTAAATTTCATAAGATTTATTGTTAAATATTGCTCCACCGAACTTATACATAATTTTTTTATTTAAACCTTGATCTTTTCTCCTAAAATAAGGTGTTTCCTGGTCATAATCATAACCATGATCTGGAAGAGGACCCTCACCTTGACTTAAAAAAAGGAAGAATCTCGAAAAATTTGCATTTAAAATTTAATAAATTTTGAAAATGTACTGCAGTCTCAAAGCTATTCTAACAAATTTTTTTATAAATAAAAAGATGCATTTGCCTTTGTCTCAAAAGAATATTCATGAATGCCCAGTATGATATCTACAAATCCTTAATATAATGTTTATGAATGCAAAACATATCTAGTAAATATGATTTGACTTGAAATGAAATATACAGGCAAACAAATAATAAATAACACAATATCTATCAATTCTCAATAAGATAAACATATATAGATCTACAACATTTGTATAACATAAAATTCATAATAAACAACATACTTTCATCAAAACAAAATAGTTCAAGTTAATATTCACTAAATGTAATGTGTATTCATAAACATTATATTGAAGATTTGTGAAAATTGTGTTATATATATAGACATTTTATTGACAAAATTTTTAAGAAGAACTCTTAGACTTGTAGTGTGTGTTCAAAATTTATTAGGCCTTAAAGATACATTTTTTATAATTTGAAGGCTCAAAGTGAGATTCTCTCTTAAAAAAACCTATGCCCAGTTACAGGTCTTTTATTATTGGATTGCTAATTACTATCATTGTAGATTGTAACCCTTACAAATCGCAGTTACCCCGGAACAGCCGCCCACCTTTCTTTGAAAGTTTGACCCTGATTGGTGCATCATAATGATACAGGAATAGTAACAATGTGCGATATAGTATATCAAGCTGGTTTTTTTGGCCCCCGAGAAAAAACGACAAAATTTGTCTGCAATTCTTTTTTAAAATTCAACTCAGATTGCGAATTTGTTCGAAGTAAAGTACTAGACCTTAATTTCTTTCTATTTATAAATCGTAATAGGCAGCATTTACATTTTAAAATTTCGTAGACACTGTGGGAAAAAAAAAACTCATGAGATAACGAAAGCAAACAAGCATAATTTTCTTATACTTAAAAATTGAAATTTAAAATGTTCTAAAAGAATAAAAACAGGAGAATAACTAAAATTAAGATATTTAAAATCAAATTAAATCGCAAGATAATTCTACGTTTAATAGAAATCAACAAATAAGTAGTAGAATTGATTGAAAAGTTGACAGAGGAGGTGAGCCCCAGGGGAAGAGATCCTCTCCTCTTTACTTTCCATCTCTTCGCCTTTTTTTTTTTTAAATAATAAGATTAATATTTTGAGCAGTTGAAATTTGATTTTTTTAAAAAAATATTTTTTTAATTTGTATTTACTATGCTTTTAAAGTTTTTAAACTATTTTATATTAATAATTTTATAAAAGATTAAATTTATATTTTTGAATTATAATCTTATGATTAAAAAAGAAAAAGAATGGAGAGAGGATTGGAGGGGAAAAGGAGTGAATCCTCACCCCGAGACCCAGTGAGCACTAACCAGGAAGGAAGAGCAGAAGTGGAGAACTGTTGAATCGGAAAGCGCCGACCGACGGCGAAAACCAGCGAGGCGGTCCACCGTCAGGCCTGATCATCTCCTTCGATTCCTCTAAGTACGCCTTCCATCCTTTCCCTTCCTCCTCCGCCTCCTCCCACCATTCACTCCCTTCCTTCACCGCCGCCCCTTCCATCTTCATTCCCTCTGCTTCTTCCCGCTTCTCAAGCACCCCCCTCGCCGTCGACCGGCTGGCCTCTTCAACCGACACCGCCATTCTCCAATTTTTATACGGCATCCGGTTCGACTTCAGACTCCCCGACGGTGACCTCGACTCGCGCCGCAGCCACGGTGGACAACCGCCCGGGAGTACAGAAACCGCAGAGGCCGCCATGGCTCTGTTCTTCCAGATTCGAAAAATGCGTCTGAAGCACGGATCGGAGTACAGCTAATTAATCATATGATAATTATTCTAGAGTTTATCAAACAGAGCTAGAAGGAGCTTTATAATATACAATAGAGTGAAACTGTTTAAAAATTAAATATAGATTATGTAATTAAATATCTATACTCAGCCGTGTCAACGCGGGATGGGCCCGGATTCGCTGCTCATCACCCTGAAAGCTAATCTTCACTTTTCATTTTATCTCAAAATAATTTATGTCTTTAATTTTAAATTAATTTTTAAATATTTTAAATATTATATTTTTAAAGATAAAAATTATGAAAAATTGAATATTAAATTTGGAATGTTCTTGAGCACTATTATACACATTATTAAATTTTTATTTTTATTCTATATTAATCAAAATAAAAATGCATAAAAAATTAAATTTTTAGTAAATCTATTGATAATCAATCTTATTAGTTCAGATTTAATTTAAATTACCTAAGTTAATATAATTTTTTTATATCTTTTATACATTGATTATTCAGATATGTTCTAAACACTCTAAATATAATTTGAATGATTTAATTTAATATATTTTTTTAAATTTTTACAAATTAACTATCTTGACATATTTTAGACACTTAAAATTTAATAATAATTTTTTATAATTTTTATTTTCACAAATATAATATTTAAAATATTTAAAAATTTATTTAAAATTAAGGGTAGAGTTAATTAAAAAAGAGAGAGAGAGAGCTAGAATCACCTTTGTGTGATGAGCACACCATGCACATCAGACTCATGAGCACGGAATGCGTATTAGGACGAACTCGGGGACCAGCCGATTCGTCTTAATAGGTCAATTCCACACATAAATATATACTTTATCGACAATAAAAATTAATTTCTCAAAATATCTCATAACATCAGTGCAGGGATTAGTTTCTTCTTACTTCAATTTTTCAGATTTTAAAATCCTCCGCGTCGTTATATGTCTTTCCAACGAACCAAGAATCAATTTCCCAAACTCTGATCTCGACGTTGATACTTAACAATAACATTACCAGTCCCAGCATGAGCGTCCGGTTTTATTCATCAAAGGAAAAGTGGGGTCTTTTAGTTGTTTCCTGTAAATTTTGGGAAAGGGGTTTCCTCTCCCCCCCCCCCTTCAATTTCAACGATTTAGATTTAAATTTATACAAAAATTCATAAATAAATTTAAATTATTAAATTTTAATTTAAATAATTTAAAACTATAATATTTTATTTACATGTTTATATAAAATTAAAATAAATAATTTTGAAAAAATTAAATTTAAATCATTGAAAAGCTTTAATGCGATGATAATGAAAAAGAAACTGAGAAAATTAAAAGAAAAGGAGAGATCACGTCCCATAAATTACATATGTTACGAAACAAGCACACCTATTGAGTGAAGAAGCTAAGCAATATATTATAATTCAAGCATATTATAATTCAAGCTTAACTTGAATAAGTTTAAAAATGTTAAGGTTTCACTTAAGATTTTAGGAGGGGCAACCCTCAGAACTTATTTGGGCTATGCAAACAAGCTCAAAACAATGGCCCTGCTTGGCTTGATCACCTACACTTAATTTTTTTTTTAATAAAAACTAAAATCGAGTGAAGGCTGGCTAACTTGAAGTAATTAACTGGCAAAAAAAAAAAAAAAAATTAACTGGCTCGCGCCTCGTGTGCGCGCGACTTCGAACCCGGAAACCCTTCTCTCGGCTCTACGCGACTGCACATCTGCCTCTCGCCTTCTCGTCCGTCTTCTCCTCCTCCCTTCTTCGACAGAGGCAACGGCGACTGTCTTCTCCGCTCGGAAAACGACGACGCTCGACACTCACAGCCTCACGCTCAGTCTTCTTCCATCTTCGTCCTCCTTTCTTTCTTCACTTGAAGCTGCTAGCTGGGTTCAGACTTCGTATAATCAGATCTGAGTAAGAAGCAAGAACGCGCAAGCTCAGGTCCAAATTCCAGAGTCAGACATTTCCTCTGCATTCGTTCTCATCTCTAGCGTCCTGTAAGTTCAAACTTCAAAATTGCGTTCGTTCTTCCATTTTTGATTTTATCCTATCTGAATGCTGAATGAAATATTGAAATCTGCTGCTGGTGTTTTGTAAGGAGGTGTGTCTGCTAGATGCTTTGTCTAATTGCTTTGAATGCTGAATGAAAATATGAAATATTGAAATCTGCTTTGTCTAATTGCTTCGTTCTTCGTTACTTTGAAGTTTGGATGCTGAATGAATGCAGTAAAAATGCTCTAATTGCTTTGTATGTCCTGTTACATGTAGTAAAAAATATGAACTGCCGCTGTAAAAAAATATAAATTATTTTTAATTAAATCTTACCCTATAATAAAATAATTATTTATTTTTAAATTAACATCATTTTTTTATATTTATTTCTGTTTAATAAAATATTTTATTTTAAAATAAATACAAAATAATTTATTAACAAGGGTATTTAAAAAAAAAATATAATGATTATACCACAAAACACAACACTAAAGCTCTATTTGGTTTGATTGAATAGTTTTTAATGAGCCAATTCAATCAAAAATTTGTGAGGCCCTACATGAAAAATTAACATTTGTCAACCAAAAATTAACAAAAGCTGTTAGATGTTTTGTTTTTAAAGTTAAGAAATTATCTCGTGCCACCTTACAGTGTAAGCTATTTAGTGCTTTTAGAAAAATAATTGAGGGCCAAATTTGCACATTTAACCTAAATTAAGTAATTAACTTTCTAAATTTATATCTAGTGTGTTGTTGTGTTTTTATTATTTTGGAAAAGAGATATTTTTAAGTTAAAAATTGAAATTGGTTAAAAAAAGTGAAAAAAATGTTTTAAAAAAGTTTCAAATATTCGGATCAGCTCAAATAAGCTTAGCCATGTGGACTTTTCTATAAGTGCATGTATTTGAAGTCTGATCTGAATAAGCCTATCTCTCTCATATTACCCATTCTACTATAAATCATATGTTAAATTTATAACAAATGAAGTGATGGGCAGGTTTCTTTGAATTTAAATTGTGCCAATAAAATGATCAACCTTAATATAAATTTTTTTAGGCATTTTGTCTTCTTTTTCTTTCTTATTTTTTAGGATAAAGATGTCAATTTAGTTACGAACTATTTTCTTAGAAGCATCTAGCATGTTGTACTATGATGTAGTGTAAAATAAGTCATCAACTATTTAAAATAGAGCGCCTATCGCCTACTGTTTATTTTTAACAAATGTCTGTCTATTTTGAATTGCGAGGCCCACACTTGTTTACATTCTCTCACCCTCTCGACATGCCATGAACCCTCTCTCCTACCTTGCTCTTCATCAAAACCCCATGAGAATACTACTAGAGATTCAAACCAATGGCTCCGCCTTTTTAGCTTACTAGTATTAATCTCCTTGGTCTTTAATCTACTCCTAATCACCATCCTCTTCCTATCCACTTTCTGATAAAGCTCATGAATCAAATCATCTTTTTACTTCAATTGCAAACCATAATCTTTCTTCAATCTCAATCTCAGCCTCTAGTTTTATCATAGTACTTTCAAGTGCCTTTACAACTACTACCATGGTTGCTTTCTTCTTAGTCTCTAGGATGAAACATGCGGCAGAAAACAGAGAGATTGTTGTGGGCCTTCATTTCTAGTTTGGTTATGCAAAAGTTGGAGGATTCATGATTGATGATGTTGCAAGAGGTGGTGTTGGAAAGGTGTTTGCAGCCACGAACTATGCTTAGAGAATCATTTGTTTCTATTAGAGCTTTGCAAGATGTATTCTCATCTATTGATTCTCCTTTTGTAGCTCAAGCACAAGATTGGCCTACTCTGTATTTATCTTGACCATAACCACCACATCCTCGTTTGAGGCTTCCAACACCACCATGTTGGCTAGCACTATCAACTGCAACCGAGTAAAGGACATGATTCGTGTGAGTGGCATTGAAGCTTAGATACACACTATGAAAGAAGCTCGGTGGCATCTTTCATGGTGTGCCCAGAGGGTGAAAGAGATATTTGAAAAGAAGGTTAGAGAGAGAATGTAACCAAATGTGGGCTCCCTAAGAAAAATAGACGTCTATTTGTTCAAATTTAATAAGAGGTGCTTGACACTCCATTTTAAATGGTTGATCATTTATTTTCCACAACTTCATAATATATCATACTAAATGTTCATTGGAAAATAAATCATGGCTAAACTTGCATTTTTATCTTATTTTTTAATACAAGGTCTCTGCTTTTTTTAATACAAAATCATGGAAAAAAATCATGCTAGGGAAACAATTAGTCAATGTCAAAGCAAATAATGCTTCTACACTCTAAAGACGGTTTATAAAAATTATGGTGTCTAAATTATCATTTGGTGCATGACAAGCAAGCTAATGTGTGTGGATCTATTTGCTTATCTAAAAATATATTTTAAAGTAACAATCTAATTTCTCATGATTAAATCCCTTATCCTTTATAGTATTTTGAGAAGAGGGTGGTTCTAGCTGTAGTCATGCTAAATGAATCGAAGTAAATGTTAACTTTGGTGGAATTTTTATTCTAACAAAAGCTATGTCCTTCTAAGATCTCATAAATTTTGTTGCGGCACTACAGCAAATATTGACTTTTTACAGAATACCCATGAGTTTAAACTCAAACAAGTTCAAATGTATGTGGTTGATAATCAAGGTACTTTTCATCACATATGGCCCATTTTTTTCCCTGAAGTCCATTGTCTACGTTTTTTAACTTCTTGTATCGTAGATCTTGATGAGTTCAAAAATACAAACCATTCATTAGTACATTGTCTATGTTTGTGCCAGCTATGATCTTTTAAAAACAAAAAGAAAAAAGACAATAAAAAAAAGTTTCGTAATTTTTTTATCGCTCACATATATCATTTTATTGAAAGCAATTTTATATGATACATGATTAAGTACTACATATAACATTTTTTTTAACAGGAATTCAAACATTAGTTTATAACATTTCAAGAAACTAATCCTTTCTACTAGATTCAATTCTGGTTGATGCAAGTTCTGCAATTGCTGTTAGAAGTGTTAATAAGCAAAAGCATACTTAATTGACGCGGTTGAGTGATGGGCTAGAAAATTTATGTAGGGAAATTGAGTTGTATCGTAAACAACTTAACTAGCTTCATTAATTATGGCGGTATACGGGCCGGGCTATTTGCCCATGGGCCTAGCTTAGTTCTATTATGAATACTAACTCATTTCATGTTATTGAAAGAGACAGAAAGAAAATAGCCGGCTTTGCAAAGAAAGATGTTTTTTTTTTTTTCATTTGCTTGGGCCAAAGACAAGTCATCGAGAACTCCAGAGCGTCAAATTGTCAATATCAGGCTTTTAAAGAAAAAGCGGATTAGCGTCCATCCATTATGATGCCACTGCACGTGATCAAACTAGAAATTGCTTGCAGCGTTGAAATAAACGCGTTAGTTAGATTTTACCCAAAAAAAAAAAAATTGGTACTTTACTAGTTATTGCTCCAAGTCTTTTGATTACATAAATAATTAGTCACTAGCGACTGAGAAAAAGCACGATTCTATTTGAAGAAATCCCAAGAATCTTGTTGGAAGACTTAGAGGCTGCAGGTAAGTAACGTATCAAAATTTATCGATCAAATTATAATTTATTATAAAATATTAAAATAAGAAGATACTCCTTCTGTTAAAAAATATAAGGCATCTTTTGAGGAGTTGGATGTTAAAAAATATAAAATATTTTTAGTTTTTTAAGTTGTAATTATTATCTTTTTTTAAGTACTCCTATTGATAAATGATTTTATATTTATTGTAGGGTAAAATAAAAAAAATATAAAAAAATAGAGTTAGTTAAAAAGTAAATAACTACTTTATTGAAGGGTGAAATTTAGTTAAAATTATTTTATATATTTTGAAGGTGTTTGGGCTAAATATGAAACGTCGCTCAAATAGATCACTAGGTTAGTTGGGCTGAATAATCGAAGCGTCAAGCCCAATATAAACAAAAGGGCTGGCCCCGAAGTTCAATAAAGTCCACAATAAGTAAATACGTCGAAATCTCATCAGCTACAAATATTATACCATTAGCATGAAAACACGATCCTAAATAATGCCAAAATTTACGCCCAAGTAGTTCGGTGAAACAGGCTAGTTATCAAAATGAAGAGACCGTGCCATAAGTTTCACGAGATTCTTAATTTTTCGGCAAAACGTATTAAATCTCAAGGAAAAGACTTCTGCTATTTGACACTATAAATAGAAAGAAGAAAAAATAGAGAAGGCTAGTCAATACTCTATCAAGACTCACACATTTTAAATTCATAAGTCCTTTTCAGTTTTTAGTTTTTAGTTTGTTTACACTTCAATAAAATCATACGTTTATTCTACAAAACTTTGTATCCTTTTACATTCGAGTAAATTGTGGTAAGAAAATTAAAATCTTTTTTATTATCTATTGAGACTTAATATCTCTGACATGTTTGATATTTATTATCCAATCACGAACACAAGGGAAGAAGTATATAAAAGCCTCGCCCTCTTGAGGCCATTCTCAATAGAATGGATTTTCAATTTTTTAATTTTCATGTCCATTTATCTTACATGCTGTTACTATATTTTTTTCCCCAGACCTGTAACTGACAGTCATATGAAAATACTAGGTTGTCTGTTTTTTGGGCCAGCAATCTTCTGTCTTTTTCATCCTTTAAAAAAAAGAAAAATGAGAACATCTAAAATGGTTCGTTGGCATTTGTCATTCGCAATTGTTGAATAATCATTTTCTTTTGCATCCATTTTATGGTGACTGGTCTCTCCCCCCTTTTTTTTTCTCGCTCATTAAAAAAACACTTTAATTCTCCGCATTCAAAATCCATATGGTGACGCAAACGAAAATACTAAATAGAAATTTGCCACCTCAAAAATTTTAAATAATGGACTTGACCGGGAGACCATCTTTAACACACATTTTAAGAAACTTCAATAAAAAAAAAAAAAATCTTCTAGAAGGGCAAGGTTTAGTAAGCCAGTAAAGTGGGAGGGGCCAATTAATTTGTATTATTGACAGGTGAAGTAGTTCCTACCTGGTATGAAATAATTATGGTATTGTATGGTCAAATTGGCCTTACAGGGTTAATTGAACTTTCTCAACTACTAGAGAAACATCAAAAATTTTACCGTGCAAGATTGAGAGATTATTTTTAATCATATCTATAAAAAAGTTAATAAATGCATCAATGTAATGATCCGCAAAGCATTAATTGAGAATTTTTATATTAACTTATTTGACAGTCCACCTGTTGATTATAAAAACCTTGTGACTTCTAATATAATTTAATTTTGGTTATCTTACACGGTTTACCGTGTCTTTATACTAAAAAAAAAAAAAAAAAAACCCTCCACTAGAAATTAAATGTGAGCAAGTCGAGGCAGTCAAATTCTACATTAAAGTGTGAGGATATGCATTGTTGGTGGCAAGTATACATCACATCAATATCGCTGACTTCAACATTGTAATTATAAATACTACCGGCTCTTTTCACCTTTCATTTTTGGTTGACAATCTCATTACTAAAGCTATAACAAGTTACTGCGTTAGGCACGTAATGAATGGGATCCAAAATGCTACGCATGGGCTGCACCAGCCCTGAGTTTCGAGAGTCTCAAATGTCAATCGCACTAAATTATTGGCAACGCATAGTCTAGCTCTAGTCTACCAGTCAAAATTGATCGTAAAGAGCAATCAGATATGTATCGTTTGATAATTAACACGAACAAATATTTTTGTTTATCTTCAAATTAACACAACGACAAGAGCGTAAGAGGTAGATCCCTCTACACGTAAGCATGCGTGTTTAGGCGTTGGAGTGAATTGAGGCTTACAAGCAATGCATACAGATAGGCTGCCCCCATCTTTTTTGCATAATGCCAAACTTGGAACTTGCAATTTTTGCATGATAATATACGCTCCTTTCAGTAAAAAAATAAAAATAAAAATAAAACATTTTTAAACAAATTTGACTTCCTAATGACATAGTTAATTATCTTTAAATTAATACTGTATTTTTATTTTTATTTAATAAAAATTTTACTTTAAAATAAATGTAAAGCAATTTATTTATTGTAGATAATCTTAAAAAATGACATTAATTATATATTAAAATACTAAAAATCTTATAATTTTAAATAACCAACCTCTCAGAAAATAATTTATATTTTTCTCCTGTCATCTTGCTTTCATGTATTGGAGTAATTGGCCCCACAGTCATGGATAGTAGCAACCCCTCTCTGCTCAGCCCTGTTCTCGCTTCTTGCTATAAAACCAGGAGCTCTTGCTCCATTCTTGTGCCCTGCTTCGACATTCTCTTTCATGTTTTCTTTCCTTCGCTATACCTGTCCGGTCCATATCTTGGAGATCTCAGCAGCAGAATATGGCTGATAAGCAGAAAGCTGATTCATTCATGGTGGACCCTGCGTCAAGCCCAACCCCACCAACACCACAAAACCTGACTTTCTTCAAGGTCCAGCACATCCTCAGAGGCCTAGCTGTTTTGTTCACTGCAGTTTCCATTGCAATCTTGGTCACCAACCACCAAACCGTCACAGTCTTCATGATGGAGTTCCAAGCTCACTTTTATTACTCTTCTGCCTTCAAGTATCATTTTTAATTATACAGATATAAACAAAGGAAGTTTTGTCCTCATTTAATCTGTTAAAAACTTGCTCCTTTTTTCCCCCCAACAGATTCCTGGTCGCTGCGGATGCTATAGTCTGCGCCTCATCCGTGGTCACACTGATTCTGGTTGTCCATCTGGAGAAACGCAAGGCAATACCACAACGCAGACACTACTGTTTCTTGCTGTTTCTGCATGATAGTGTAAGTTAACGATGTGTGTGCGTGCGAGTATGAAAGAGTGATGATGGTATTTAAGAGAGATAAAAAGAAAAGGATTTGGTGGGTAACGATGCAGGTGATGATGGCGCTGATGATGGGAGGGTGTGCGGCGGGAACGGCGATAGGATATGTGGGGCAGTACGGAGAGTCGCATATGGGGTGGGGAGCGACATGCGATAGTGTGCCCAAGTTCTGCAGATTAAACGTTGTCTCGCTCTTGTTCTCTTATTTGGCCTTCTTTGCCTATTTCGGACTCTCTCTCTTGTCTCCTGTTAACTTCCTCTCCTCTTCCTCCTTTCTTCCTCCCAACTAGCTACCCACCTTCATTGCTCATTTCTGTATGATATCCTCCTCTTAATAATCACCCCACTAGGCACCTTGTAGCTATTATTATTTATATATCTATTTCTTCTATCCCTTCTCAATGACTATTTTAAAAAATTAACTAATCTCAATAATTATATTCCAAATTGAAAATTTTAATTTAGATTAAAATGCTTTCGTAATTAATTTTTATTTTATATAGGTTAATGATACTACTATTTAACGAGGGTAATTGAGGACATATGTTATGAATATTTCTTTAAAATTATTTTTTTTTGCTTATCAAAAATTAAAAAAAACATATCTACAATTTTGTTTGTAGTATTAAAACATGGAAGGAGTATTTTCGATCATTTAAATTTCATTATGACTCGTGTTCAATCAACAATCAAAATATATAAAGTATGCTATTATGGCAGACGCAATTGACGACTTACGCCAACCTTTCTTGGCATTTCTTTTCTTCTTAATTATTTCTATCCATTCCTTATTTTCTTGGTACCCAAAAGAATGGTTCCATGGAGAGTCGTGAATCATGATTGTTTTCGGATAACATAATGTTCATGAATTCTCAATACAACATTCATAAATTCTCAACACAATGCACATGCGTATTCACATATGGACATTTAGTTAAGAATATATGAACATCATATTGTGCATCCATGGATATGGTGTTGTATATTGTTTGCATCACTTATACATTTTATTAAATCTATTAATCAATTAAACAAGCATGGACATTGTGTTAAGAATTCATGAACGTTGTGTTGTACATCTATGAATATTGTATTATACATGATCTTAGTTTTCAAGTTACACAAGGGCAAAAAAATTATCCTAATATAAAAAACTAATTGTAGAGATAGATGGCGCCTAAAAAATAATGAAAAAGCAAGCAATACCAAGACATAAATATGCCTATTAAGAAAATTGAAATACAAATATTAATATCAGTTTTTTTACATGAATACTAAGATCAATAATTGTCATCATTCTATGCTCAAGAGCTACAGATTAAGCATTTAACAAAATATTCAAAAGTCATTAATGATGCTTACCTTCGGGAATCACAAGCCTATCTTCTTGTGTTAATGCATTTTTAATGATTTTTGAGTCAGATGCAGTACCTTCCTATCTAGGGAGCACATAAGTAAACTTTAGATCAAATGTACATATTTCTAACACATACTATGTTAGGAATCCCTTCATACCATGATACTTAGGAGCATATAAAAAAGACACGTTAACTCATATGTGTGTTCCATCAATAGTGTAACATCTGAAGAATTTAATTCTTAATTAGTTAAATAAATGAAGTTATTTGAGTAAATTAACATGGTATGTAGTTATGAAGTAAGGGGTGTTATGGGTTGTGATTTCAACTCTAGAATTAAGTTCATAGTGAGATTGGGTTACTCGGGCATCAAGAAGTGAGAAAAGCAAAGAAAAATGATTGTGCTATATGCCGTGACGTGTGCACAAGAGGTCACGGCTCATAGTGCCATTTGAATATGAAGACCCTTTTCTATACCACATGCCACGATAAATGATGCAAGCGTCTCGGTGTTTGGTCATTTTTCTCAATCAATTTAAAGCTGTATACTTATATATATATTTATTGACCTACTATATGCCAAAATATCTCTATCACAAAAAAAAAAAAATACAATTCAATTATCCCGTCCACTTTATCCGAAATTCAATGGTTGACATAAACACCACTCTTGAATATCACTCAAACAAGTTAACAAGACACAGCTTATATCATCTAATCTCTATTGCATCGTTTAATGTCCTGCGTGTTTCTTAAAGCTAGAACATAACATCCTCAAGATTGTTTAATAATTTTAGCAAACGAGACTATGTTTGTCGATCATTGTTGAAAATATGACCAAATTGAATCGAAGAATCGTTAGAATGGACTCATATACTTGATGTATATATCATGTTCATTTCTAACGAGGCAGTCCACAATTTTTTACTAGCAAAATTCTGGACCAGCCATCAAACTGAAGTTTTCCATGTCACTTCACAATTTCTCTCTCATTTATTCCTCCCAAAGTCATTAATTTCGGCTTCAACCTCGTCATCTTCGCTATCCCTAAGATGTTCCTTCAAAGGTTGTCCAAGACTTTCCCAGCCTTTGCTATCCCAAGCTGCATCTATCTCAGGCAGCTCATAGTCATCTGGACGCAATGACAATTGAAAATCAGGTAGCTCAGGCAATGCTTGGAGACCCCTGCATCATATTTTTAAGACCTCGCTTTCATCTTCCGCAGAATTTTAAGGAATTTTAGTATGCTAAATGCGATCAAATGAAGCTGCTTACTTCTCTTGTTCCAAGAGGTAGCCATAGATCTGAGATTTCCTTGATGCAACTTCAGGAATTTTCTGATGTAAATGCTTCATAGCACCCCAGAGTGGAGCAGCCCTTCACAGAGAAAAATAATCAGTTTAAGGAAGAAGAGTCTTCTGGCAACAGATTCAGGCAAAATCCAAGGATCAAGACAAACCTGGTCACAGGAGCTGCAACACAAAAGCTTAAGCAGGCCTTCCTGCTCTCAGCTACAAGTTCTTCTGCAGCAAGAAAACAAGACACAGCAACAATGTGATTGCTCGGTTCAGTATCCTTGTCAAGAATCAGGCCATGGTAGTAGTAGGCTGCAGCCTGACACCACGTTATCAAAATGGGTCAACGACAACCTTGTATTTTATCGTCCAGATTATCGGATTTTATTGAATGTTGATGGAGTTACTAACCTTGGCTTCAAGGAACTTCCATTTGATGAACCGGAGATGCTTCTTTCCATACACTTGGTTGAAGCCACATCCTAACAAGCACTGATAAGCCTGCTCAATAAAGTTTCCAACGAACTGATGTTAAAAGATGTATCAGTAAGGAAATTAAAGATATGTCAGTAGAATTTAACAAGATAATCTGTATGTATTACAAAATGAAATTGAGGTTAAGAAGTCTGATAACGAGCAAGTATTCAAAGGATTGAAGGTGAAGACCTGACTAAAATAAATCAGTTGCTCACATGCCAGCCTTCTCTTCACCGACAAAGTTGCGTTCTGACATTCAACAGCAAGGCCAAGCTGAATTTCTGTTCCCTGAATTGTAATCCAGATGAACTATTATAAGGATCCATTGTTTAAACAAAAAACTATACGGTGCACTACGATAAAGTGAAGAAAGGGAGGCTTCATGCCATGATATATTGTTTTCTTCATGCATTTTAACAGAAGCGCACCGAGAAATAAAACCATATTCATAGTATCATGATTGCAACTGAACAATTTGTACGGCTACTTTAGTCAGATGATTACTCAGCACCTGGCCTAGTGCTTGAATGGACACAGCCTCCAAAACAGCATCCTGCAAGCTCTGGGGTAGCATTTTCCTGCATGTTGCGTTAAGAAATCAACTTAACAGTGTGTCCAAAAGATTTCCCATTCTGTTTGTAAGTACTTGTAATGTAGAGAGACTACAGAAAGTCGCACTTAACGTCAAGTGGTATGCGAGGAAGAAGATCCCTGACACAGAACTGCAGGTATCCTGATGCCTTTAGTAACAAATCCACTGCTTCCCTCTTGCAATCTGGGAGCACAACATGATCATTCACTGTTCAGCTTATGTATCATTAAACAGGTTCTGGTTTCACACTGACGGCCTTCTATGATATGGAATAATCATAGTTTTATGTATTAAAATACAACCTGAAGATACAACTCTTATTCCAGATCCTGAACGATCCTTTGGGATCAATAACGAGTCAGCTTCTGACAATGTAAGCATAGCCAAAATATGAACTGCAGAAAGCACTTCAAACCAGGCATTTGCTACACAGCTATCCTGCAAGTTAGAGTTGATTTGATCAAACAGGCTAAAACGATAAAGAAAATGACGGAAGTTTAATTGTTGGTTTGGTGACAGCCATACTTGTCGCCCATCCTGGAAATTTTTCCACTTGAATTCTATTAATCCGTCAAGACCATACTCTGCAACATGAAAAAAAATTAAAACCCGTTTTAGAAATTGAAAGGGGGCTAAAAAGGAGCAGCAAGAGATGTGCGCAAGTTTGTGATACCTTTCTTAGTGAGCCCAACAAGCACAGACAAGTATTCATTCAGAGCTCTCCGCAATTCTGCTATGGCAGATCCCCCTACAAGAACCAATTAAACTTCATCACATCACGACATTCTTCTTATACCTTTGAGTTTACATCCTAGTTCATTTACGTCTACATCTTCTAGCAATCAGTGATCAACAGAAGAACATTAAAAAATTAAAAGAACAAAAAGATAGAGCTAATGAGTATCCCAATTCACCTGTATCCTCGGCCACTAACACTATCTGATTCCGAAGAGAAGATAACTTGTCAGCAAGATCCCTTGGAACTAGACCTTTGAGCGCCCTCTGAAGATCAGATTGTACAGGAAATCGGATAGAGGGAACAAAAACCACCACTTCAGGGATACTTTTCTTCTTCTTAGCAAGTGCGTGCACAGAGTTGATGCAACCCATTATTTTGGCAGAGTGACTTTTTTCAAGCGTGACATCCTAAATTAATCAACCACCCATGTTCCAAACTCATGTCTAATACAGTGACCGTGTTCTGAAACACCAAGCATTGGTGAAGATGAGAGCATGAGCAAGTGGGAAATGATGCAACTTAAAAACAAGTATGATTGGCACATTTAACTGCAAAGAGAGCTGGCTAGAATTCAGCTGTGATGAATTGGCAGAAGGATGGAAGTTAATCAGGTACAGTTTTTCTGATTAGCAGATTAAGAAAATGAAAATAGAAATAAATGAATAACACACACTCTACATGCATGCGTGGTTCAGGGACAAAAGAGACAGTTTAAAATGGTAGATTCAAATTAGCCTGATAAAACATTAAAAACCCAGATCAGAGAAAGGAGGTAAAGTTGAGAAAACAGACCAGAAGAGAATAAATGGGATATTAAAAGCGGAAATTTCAGAGAAAAAGTTATAACTTTTGATGAATTATTGAGAGCGATCGTAAACAATGACTTACTGGGTACAGAGAGGAGAGAAGCAGAGTGACAGAGAAGCGAAGCTTCGAGGACGAGATGTAAGCATGGCAATGTGGCCACCTCAGTTGTATAGGAAGCACAGGAACTGAGACAGGAATCACGTGGCGAAGGCGTAGAAATCTCTGCATCGTTGAATTTCAGTTTGAGTAAAGAGTAATGATATGATTTGGTGGTTTTGTAAAGAATAAAGTAAGTTGATACCAAATCTGATTGGATGATGAGGGTCCTATGATTGCAATATGGATCGGATCGGATGAGAAGTTATGCCGTTACATCAGTGCAGCAAGAGGTATGCACATGGCTTTGAGAAGAAGCAAGCAAGAGACTGTCTCAGATTCTGATTTTTTTAATACGCTAACGATCGTTGAAAACGAAAAGCCGCCCACAAAGAAAAAGAAAAAGATTTTAACATAAGAATTGTCAGATTCTCCAGGCTAACTGCTGCTTACATACTCTGTATCAAAAAAAAATTATAGCCAATAATTCGAGTGGATCTAACTCCAATTATCTAAACATATTAAAAACTTATATAAAAGTCCTGTCCAAACACCTTGGCTTTCAAGCTTGCTCGGGTATACTCAAACATCTAAATTATTAAATATTATTTTACTTTTATTTTTATTTTTTTAACCAATTTCAGTATTTATATTATTTTTCTATCATTACTAAAGTGAGACCAAACAATAGAAAAGTAAACATGAAAGCATGTAAAGTATAGCTATTTTTATTTATTTTTTCTTGATATTTTTAAAAAATATTTATAAAAAAGTTATAAAAACATTAAAACTTCATTTAAGAGTCAAATGTGGGCAAATTTGGAGTCTAAGAGAATCTGTAAATGCTAATTGAAAAATGAGGTGAAATTCAGTTTCATTTTATTAATAAAAAAAAATTCAGGTGTTCTCACCAAGCATGTTTGGGTTCGAATTTGACCTAGATTTATTTGGGTTATTTGGATTGGCATGTCAGATTTGTTCTGAATTATCAACTTTAATCAAAATCACTTAAACTACATAGTTTGAGGGATCTCAGTTTTGATATATTTTTAATTTATCTTAATTTAAAATTTCTTTCTCTAGTAGCTTTTTAACTATTTTGTCTTCTATTTATATATTCCTAAAGTTATATATTCTGTTCATATCAATTGCGCTATGGTAAATGATTACCGTTGAAATCACTTGATTAAATACTATTCGAGTTATTAAAAAAAAAAAAAAAAGGTGTCATGTACTTTACACTTACACAAAGTCCCTCCGGTTCTAAATAATTGTGCGGTATTTTTTAAAAGAATTTTTTAATTTTTAATATAAGGTATTTAGTGAGGTATTAGTTATATTTTTTAATATTGTTCTTATTTAAATTTATAAATTATGAAAGAGAGTGTAATACAAATTTAAAAATTTTCATTTAAATAGAGATAAAATTAAAAGTTTATTCTTTTTTCGACAAAATTACAACTCCTTTTGTTTCAAATTATAAGATACTTTTGGGTGATATATGTTATTCAAAAATATAAGACATTTTGAGAAGATTAAGGTTTATTAAATAGGTTTATTTTAATATTATGCTTTCTCTCTCTCTATTTAATACCAATTAAGTGTATATTTAAGGTTATTAAATGAAAGATATTTTTAAAAGTTTATACTTTTATTTTAAAAAAATAAGATTGTTAAGTGTATTTAATGAGATTTATTGATATGTGATATTTTATCTAAAAATGTTTTATAATTTAAAACAGAAAAAGTAATTAACAATTTAATCATCTTCCTTAATTTCAGTGAAGTAATTAGATGTATGTTATATAATAAGAATACCAGCCAGAACAACTTCCTCATAGACATAGTTGCTTAAAGCCTGAAACACATGCAGTTATACTCGTGTGCATTAATGGCGGAAGAAGTTACATTTACATGCATTAATTGCCAAACGACCAAAAAAACACTAGGAGCCATAAAGACACGGTTACATATTTCATGCAGTTAATGGTTTAGCTGTGGAGGGCTAGAAGCAAGCCTTTCCATTTTTTATGGGGTCATTCGCATATTACGAGTTTGTGGATGTTTGATCAAGAGATCAAAAATATTTGCACGATTTCGTATTTAAAAAAGTATAGCAGTATTAGAAGTACTGTGTTCAATTCTATATATTCATAACTTTTTAGGGCAAATTCATGATTTTATTTATTTAATATAAAAATGTGATGAATTAATAATCTTTTTTCTAAAAAAACTTGTTTACCACTTCTTAGGACTTTTTTTTTTTTTTTTAACCAGCAAAATATTTCATAGGCAAAGCAAACAGGAATTACAGACACTTGGAGAGTTCAGAAAACGAAAACCCAAAAAACCAGTACAAACAGTACTGAACCAATAAAACATAAACACAAGGCATCCAAGGAATTAGCCAATGCCTTCACAGTTGACTTCCTAGAAATGCTGGTCATTATCAAGGGTACTATTCGTGGTTGCTTCCTGAAGAATGATAAGAGCTAGAGGAGGTGGCGATACAGAAACTAGACCCTGAGGTCCCAACTCCCTTGAAGCTAAGGCAGCTAAACAGTCGGCTACATAATTTCTCTTGCAAGAAATGAGAGACATAGAGATCAATCTTCTGTCCACAATCAATTCAAGCACATCTGACAAAACCTCATGGTCCTTCCAGGGGCATGCTGAGTTTTTTCGCCACTGGACAGCATTGAAGACATCAGCACAATCAGTCTCAAAAGTTATAGGAGTACCTTCCCACAAATCACTAAGCAAAACCGCCTTCTTCACTGCCAAGAGTTCAACGAAGAAAGCAGAATCAGCTTGCATGCTTTCAGCCCATCCATGAATGTATTCCCCTTCGTGGTTTCTACAAACTATCCCAAATCTAGCCTTATGAGTCCGAGCATCAAAGGCCCCATCACAGTTCATCTTGATACACCCAAGGAGGGGTTTTTGCCACTTGACTTCATTAACATGCTCAAGGCATCACAGGGGTAGATTTCATCAATTCCTTAAATCCCAGAACTGACCAACGCATGCATTCGTAAGATCAACTGCGACAACAGGGTCGGGGTTTATATTTTCAAAACACTTCTACACCTCATTTTCCAGATAAACTAGCAAAAGGTGACAAGATATGCCTTGCCATAATCATTATTTTTAAACTCATCTAGTAGTAAAGCCCCAAACCAACAATTCATGTCACCTCCACAAAATTGATGAGTAGACCCAAAGGACAACCAAGCCAAGCCACACAAACCTAGTTACACAAAAGAAATAAGCGTTCAGTCATCTCCACTTCCTCTCCACAAAGAGGGCAGAATGCATTTGGAGAACATCTTCTTTTGGCCAGCGCTTCTCTTGTGGCAAGGGCATTATTCATTAGTCTCCACATAAAATGTTTGACTTTTGGCATGACCTTCGAGTTCCAAACTACCTTCCACACACTACCATCCACCACCTTAGACCGTGATGATCCAGGCCTATAAATGTCCACCCCTATATTTGGTTGTGTAGCTGTAACATAGCCTCGTTTCACACTATATTGCCCATCCTTTGCTGCTACCCAAACCAACTTGTCTAGCCTTCGCCCAATAGCCAAAGGAATATTCTAAGTTAGTTTGATCATACGAGGGTGCACGATAGATCAATGCCATTAAGTTGCTAGCATCAATCTTCTATAAGGTTTGATAGAAGCATTTCCTTATCTACTACTGCACCTGCTATCATCTGCAACTTAAACTTATCTGCTCCTGGGATCCAAAGGTCTTTCCATGCTTAGATGTACTGGCCGCTACCCACCTGCCAACATAGATTTTTTTTTTTTTTTCAAAAAATCTGGACCATGCAAAATACTATCCCATAGCCAAGAAGCACGAAGCCCTTTTTCAGCATCAAGAAAAGATTTATTTTGAAAATAGATTCCCTTCAAGATATGGGCCCAATAGCTGTCTGGTTGATTGAGAATATGCCAAGCAGTTTTAACTAACAATACATCATTAAAGACTTGAAAATCCTTAAAGCCCAGGCCTCCATCAGATTTAGGGCAGGAGAGGTACTTTCATGATTACCAATGAATCCTACTACTCCTAACATTGTTACCCCAATAGAAATCCAAACTTCTTAGGACCTGTTCTTTTAATATTTCTGCTTTTAAATATGAGCAAATTTTAAAAATCATTATATATTTTAGATTGTTTCAATGATTAACTATTTCTTATTGCTTGTGATAAATAGTTAAAACTCATAAGTTAAAAGTACCTTATATTTAATTATTTATGACCATCGGAGTATTTTGATTTCTTATGTACTCGGTGCTGTATTAAATGCATGTGTCACTTTTAACCACTACTTCTGAATATTAATATTCTCAATATAAATTGATTTTTATGAGAAACTTTTGATCCAAAATAGAGGGTATTAAGCAAATTTTATGTTTTTCTTGACATTTATACTCTTGCTTTAATGAAATTAATGTTATTAATGATGATAGTTTAAATATTCCATTTAAGAGTATGCTCCTTCCATTCCTATATATAAGTTATTTTCTAAAAAATTATTTTGTCCCTAAATATAAGGGATAATAATGATATTTTTAAATAATTAGATAATTTTACCCTTATTTTGAAAAATAAAATAAATTATTAATTATATGTTTTTCTTACTATTATCATGATATTAATTATGAAATTATTAGGGGTAAAATTGAAAAATTATTGTGTTTTTATGTGAGTTTAACTAAATAACAAACTTTTATTAATATGTAAAATTTGATTAAAAACACCATATATATAGGAATTGAGGGAGTAAATGAAAAGATATAAACATTTTTAAAAAATCAATATCTATCTTTTTTAAGAAATGTAAATTAGTTTACAATTATTTATATTATGGTTTAGAGAGAGTATAAAGTAAATTCAACGAACTTCATGATTACTAAAAAATGATAGATATATCTTTAAAATTGTTAAAAAATATCTAACTTTTTCATTTTGACATACTCCCTCGTCTCTATATATAAGATGTTTTTAACTTAATCCTGCATGCTAATAAAAGTTTGTTATTTAGTTACAATTATATAAAATTACAATAAATTTTTAGTTTTACCCCTAGAAAAGTAATAATACCACAGTTAATATCATGGTGGTGATGAGTACAATACACAATTAATGTCTCCTTCATTTTTCAAAGCAAGGGCAAAGTTGTCTAATTATTCAAAAATATTATGACACCTGACCCATTTGGAGACAAAATAAGCTTTTAAAAAATACCTTATACTCTCTCTAGTTTTATTTATAGCGTAGAGAGAGAAGAAATTTTTTTTATCATATTTATAAGTCACATCATTAAAGTTTCATTACATATTTTTTATTTTACCCTCCATTAAATGCTCGAGAAAAAAATGTTATTGAAATATTTATATTTAATAGGGACAAAATTGAGAATTTATTAAATTTTAATTTAAATGAGTTTTAAGATTTTTTTTAGTACTGGTGAACATATTGAAAATAACTTATAAATAGGATAAGAGAAATGTATAGAGATGAAGGGAGTAATGATTATAATAAATAAATTATTATCTAAGAATTCAATTGATAATAAATAAACAATGAATAAAATTAAAAAATGTTTATTACTTTAATTTTTTTTATATTAAAGATCAGGGGAATATCTAATTAAAATGATTTTTTTTTCAGTCTTTGTTCTCTCACTGACAACATCAATTTTAAAAGACTTGCGCAAAGGGCCTATATTCAAAATTTGCAAGGTTGGCGTTTCCTTGAAAGAACATTAAATACCTTAAAAATTCTTGCAACATCACCTACATGTATCACCACAAGTTGCTTCTAAAATGTGACTTGCCTTGTAGACAAATGCAGATTGTGGTTGAAATCCTAACACGTAACTTGAAAAAATTAATGTTCACCCCCCAAATAAAATGCTCTCTCCAATGAGTATTATACAATATACTTGTATTCAATTTTTAGTGCAATGAATCAGTTAATTATTTTTAAAATTATATCTTTTTAATATTTATTTTTATTTAATAAGGTACCTTAATTAAAATATGATATTTATATTTTTATTATAAATTTACTTTTATTTAATAATGTGTCTTACTTATACCTTAAAAGATCCAAAATATATTAGATTTTTTAACATGATACTTTGAAAAAATATATTATAAAATTGAACAAAGGGAATAATTTTCAAATTTTTTTACTAGAACAAATTGTTATCACAAGGTAGGATCTCATACATGTCTAGACCCAAAGATTCTCATATTCATGTATCTTAGGGTATGCTTATTCAGATAAAGTCCCTCAAAGCCTCTCTTGGACAAAGTTACACCACTTTAGGATCCTCAATCTCTTAACACTTTAACTCATAGATCTCTAAATATAGTGATAGGAAGTCACACTCATGAATTGTGATTGAATTTGTTTTAGTATGCAAGTTATTCTGAGAGGTATATGTAGAACATACTTGAATCTTTATATGACAGAAGTAAATTATTATTTGATCAAGCTTTCAGGGGGAAAAAAAAAAGAAATGAAAGACAAAAGAGTTTAGAACTTAAAGGAATATGATAGAACACACTCTTATTACTTCAAACGAGTGCCAAACAAGTTCTTATATCTTAATATAAGATATTTTTAATAAAAATATTTGAGTAAAAGTCTAATGTTAAAATTAGGGACATACTTTAAATATTTTAAAAATTACATTTCTAAAAAGCAAGAGGGATTTATTTTTTAAATCATTTTTTGCACAAATTAAGTGGAAAATTTTTATTTAATATTATAAGGTATTTTGGGACTTTCAAAATACAAACAATAATATTTCTCCAAAATATACTTAATTAGGGGCACAATTAATAAAATGTTATAATTGAGCTATTCTAAGGATAATTAATTAACTCATTTAAGGTTAAACACGTGATATAATACTGAACAAAAAGAGTATTATAATATGATTTAAAATATATCCTAGATTTTAACCAAAAAAGTTCATAAAATTGAGGATACCATATTAGAAGAATCCTATGTATTTATTACGAGTGCATTAAAATTCAAAATGATTAATGCACTTTAAAAGCATGATGTTGTCATAAATGAAAATTATATGATCATACTGTTGCCGTACTTTGAGAATTGGTCGGCGCGATTACACTTGGCAAGGTTACCGTGGCTTCCTTTGATCATACTGTTTTTTCTTTTTTAATTTTCAAATTCGAAAAAATTTAAAATATATATATATATATATATATAAACGAAGTCACCTCACAAGATTATATTTATTATTTAATTACTTATATTTATTTAATAATTTATTTTAAAAATTATATGTTTTTCAAATGATGCATTGTCTCCCTCCAATATTTATGTAATATTTTTTTAAAGTGTCATTTTTTTATTCTGTCAATTGGTATCATAGGAAATTTAGGTGTATTATCATCTTCCATCCAAACTAACTTAAAACTCTCCTTTGTTGACAATTATTACCAAAATATTTAAAAATAATTTAGTCAAGATGTAATTAATAAAGTTCATTAAAAATATTCTTAATTGGGAAGTAATTAATAAATTTTTTTGAATGGATGCATCTTATTAAATAAAAATTAATATGAAAAAATATGTAATTTTAAAGATAATTAATTAAATAGTTGAAAGGTATAATTCAGTTTAAAATACCTTATAATTTATAAGAAATATTTAGTTAGACCTGGGACATCATGTCATATGTGTTTTGTCTAATTAAAATACTTCAAGTAATGTAAATAAAATTTTATGTGATATTTTTTTAATTAATCTTATTTTTATAACAAAATGCATATTTAATTTTTTGTCTTTTCTCCCTCTATCATCATTAATATCAAATTAATTTATATTAAATACTATCTAAATATTATATTTTTATTAAATAAA